ACCTCCACCTCTTGGCTTCCCTCATTTCCTTCAAGACTCAGTTCAAATCCTTCTATCCACAAGCTTTTACAGGTCTCCCTACCCCACCCCATCCCTTTCCCCAAAGACATTCCTCTGACTACCTCCCTTTTATACTGCTTGTGTCTTTTACATAGCATTGGTGAGATATGCTGGATCCTCACCCTCTTTCCCAAATGAATTTGAGTACCTACTTCTTGAGGGGAGAAAGAGATGAAATTCAAATACAGTGGTCTATCTCAAGTATCACTTAAAACCATTTTAGGACACTGTGAGATTCAAGGAGGCTGGTCAATGAAATACTGAAACTAACTGAGGAGGCCTCTGTCCCTCCAGTCTGGGCTACTGTGCAAAGTTCTTTACAAATATTACATTGTTTGATCCTCACAAAAACCATCAGAGGGAAGTGCTATTATTATCCCTATTTTACAATTGAGGAAACTAAGGTAGAAGATCAGTATGTGAGGCCAGATTTGAACTTAGGTCTTCCTAAGTACAGGCCTAATACTAGGTCATAAACTCATTTCCTACCTTATATTTCTCATGTCTCATGTTATATGTTACATGATATAATGACAAAAAATACTGGCCTTGGAGTCAGAAGATCTCCGTTCAAATTGCTGCTCTGTGGGGCAGCTGGGTGGCGCAGTGGATAGAGCACCGGCCATGAAGTCAGGAGGACCTGAGTTCAAATCCAGCCTCAGACCAAAACACTTGACACTTACTAGCTGTGTGACCCTGGGCTAGTCACTTAACCCCAATTGCCTAAAAAAAAAAAAACCAAATTGCTGCTCTGCCCTTTACTGCCAAGGTAACCCTGGGCAAGGCACCTCAGAGCCTCAGTTTCCTCCTCTGTAAAGTGGAGATAATAGTTGCTCTACCTTGTGAGAAAAGCACTTTGCAAAAACTTAACGTTTACATGTAAAGGTGAGTTGTTGTTAAATGATAGAAGTTCTGTAGCCCCTCTGAGGACTTTCGCTTTTGAAAAAATCTGGTCTTTATCTGGCCCAGGAAAAAGACACAGCTCTGATCTCTTGTTCACTTCCTTAGGTAGCCAGATAGGTAAGAGATTGAGTTAAATTAAGGGATGACAATTCTCTTGGGGGGGGGGGAATGAGTTAACACTAGGATCCCGTAAGTATAGGCTCTCCAGGTATACCTTAGTCTGGGGGTGGGGAGCCAGCAGCCTCAAGGCCACACGTGGCTGGTTTCCCACCCCTGCACTTACTTAGTCCATTCCATAAAGCAAGGCTCTCTTGTCAGCCTCTTCTGAACTTATATTAACATTTAGTCCAGTAGATGGAGCCAGTTAAAGTTTTGAAATGTGATAGGGAGATATTTCCATTGACCACAGCCCTTACCTGCTAACCATTTCTGTCACCTAAATTTGGGCATTTCTTCTAAAGGTCACAACTTCACAAACCCTTGAGATCTTGACCGATCACTGTTCACATCTTTTAAATCTTCCAGCACAGTAAAGGCCTTCTCTTTGTCCTTTTAAAAGCTCACCCCAATAGTAAGCCTCCTGAGGGCTAAGATTCCGTTTTTGGCTTCATTTTTGTATCCTCAGCCCCCCAGCACAATGCCCTCCTGAGTGCTGGGTGAGTAGAATGGATACAACCATTCGGAAATCCATCAAGCTTTATGCTAAGAAAGTAACTGCTGTGCCTTTGTCCCAAGGAGTCCAATGACAAGGCCCCATTTACACCAAAATATTTTTATTAGCCCTTTTTGTGGTAGTAAAAAACTGGAAGCAAAGTTGATATCCATCCATAAGGAAACACAAAATCAATTTTGTTACATGAATGCATGTGGAATATTACCATAAGAAACAATGAATCTGAAAGCTTCAAAATGTCTGTTATCATTCTTACATGTGGGAAGACTTAGATTAACTGTTGCAGAGCGTAGAACCAGGAAAGCAACATCTGCACTGAATGTCTTGTCCTTGCAATGACCAAGCCAAAAACACGAGAATGCACTTTCTTAACTATAATAGATAGCAAGGATATGATGCTTTGAGGTTGGCAGAGTGCTTTACAAATACTATCATCTGGTCTTCACAACATCCCTGAGAGGTAGGTGCCATTATTATCCCCATCTCTTACAGATGGGGAAACTGAGGCACAGGTGAAGTGACATGGTCAGTATCTGGAGGATAGATTTGAACTCAGGTCTTCCTGGGCCTAGGCCTAGCTGCTACCTTTTTACAACTGAGAGCTGTGAACAAAGAATATTACTTATACTGTTGGACTTCACTGATATGTTGGTTAACATGGCCGAAATTTTTTTCCCCTTGTTTATTCTTCATTGTAAGGGGTAACTCTTCATGTGAGAGAGAAGAAAGTGATGTAAAAATAAATTTTATTTTTAAAATATAATAAATGTTTATCAAATTGAACAAACATTGAGCACCTCCAATACTGACAATATAAAGAAACTTCCAAGAACTTCCATTTTATTATGTGAGTATGTGGCTACAACAGCCACACTGATCAATATTCTATGACAGAGAATATGATACCGGCAAAGGAGAACTCCAAAGTGCTAAAGGAAGATAGGAGAGGCTGACCAAAACTCCACCCAAGTCTCACCTTCCACGGGAAGCCTTTTCTGATTCCTTTCGACCTCAAGCCCTCCTCCCTCCCTAAGGGTCTGGCACTCCTTTGGAGGGCAGGGAATGTTTTCCTTTTGCTTTTGTAGCCTCAGCTTTCGGGACAGAGCCTTCTGTCACCACCTACAACGGAGCAGGCATTTGATAAATGCTTCTTGATTAACTGACTGGTTGAACTCTTTTATTAGAGAGGGCTCCGCGGAGGGGCTGCTAGGAGGCACAGTGGATGGAGTGCCTGGCCTGGAGACAGGAGTTCACAGCTGGCCTCGGGAAACTTCGTAGCTGTGTGACCCTGGGCTGAGCATGCAGAAACAAATGACACAATCCTTCCCCTCAATGAGCTTATATTAGGATCGGGCTATCTGTGCAGATTTGTATTTCATGCACATTTCAATCTTTATTTTGTTTCTTGTATTTCCTGTTGTTTGCCAATAAATTTTTCCTCCTGTTAACACAGAAGTGTACAAGTTCTGTCAGATCCCGTGGTATCGAGGAGTAAATTGTACTTAGCAAACTGTTTGGAGAGGCCCAGAGGACACACTCTGAATGCTTTTCAGTCAGGCCAGGAGAGGCCGCTCCCTATGACTAAGATGTCCTTCCCACATTTCTGTGGCCAAAACATCCTTTACTCCTTGCCCACCCTGGTGACAAACCTCCTTGCCTGTGATGAAGTTGGTGGTCAAATGACAGGCGCAAAGCCTTCCTCGCTGGTAGAACAGTAAGGAGGCTTTGGCCCAGGTATCTTGGCTGTCTTCTCTGGGCTCCTGCCGCTGGGACAGACCCTCTTGGGGCCTGGCTTTTCTCCCAGCCGCTGCAAGCTGAGCTCTGGGCAGTCGGTGGCCTTCCTGACCTTTGGGTCACCAGTAAATCTCACTTCAAAAGGGTGTGTTGGGAAGGGTGTGTTTATAAAGTGCTTTTGCCCATCGTGATAAAGGCCTTGGCAGTCTCTTAATAAGTAATGAGAAAAATATTAATGGATTGATCTTTGTGCTGTAGTTGATGAATCAAGTTTTATTTTCATCTTTTTAGTTTTAATGACAGCATATTTCAACAGCATTTTCAAAATGACTTTCTTCAAACAGGAGGAAGTGAGGGAGTATAAATAGTATTAGTACCATTTTACAGATGAGAAAATTGAGGCTCAAAGTGGTTGAACTCTCCTGCCTCGTGCTCACATAGCTGGAAACGAACAGGGCCAGGTATCCTGGTGGGGGTGGAGGAGGGAGTCTTTGGCAAGTCAATAAGCATTTATTAAGTGCCTACTATGTGCCAGGCACTGTGCTAGAGCCTGTGGATACAAAGAAAGGCAAAAGGCTGTCTGCCCTCAGGAAGCTCACAGTCTAACGGTGGAGACCACATGAAAACCACTATGAACAAATAAGATTTGTACGTGAGAAAGTGGAAACTATCTCAAGGACCGGCAGAGACATAAGAACGGTCCTCAGGAGAGAAGAGGAGGTGGAAGGGACGTCAGGAAGGAATTGACACTGGAGCCTTGAAGGTCCGGTGGATGTGGGGGATCAGAGGAGAAGGTGCTGAGGGGGTGGGGCAGACGATCCGCTCCCTCTGGACCTAAGTCCCCCGCCCCCATCCCAGGCAGAGCCCTTCCCCATCCCCGACCCTCCCCCCCAGGATCAGAGCCCCCCTCCCCCCAGGGTCAGACCCACCCTTCACCCCCTCCTCCGGACGGACCCCCAGTACAGGAAGCCACCCCAGCCCCTCGGTGGGGAAGGCTCGCTCGGGTGCATTTGTTTGCATGTGGGCGCCCCCATTAGCCTGGGGGCTCCCTGAGAGCATGGACGGTTTTACTGCCTTTATCTCCCCAGCGTCCCCCACGGTGCCCGGCACACAGTAGGCGCTTCATAAATGAGTTAACACTTGTAAAGCACTTTGCAAACTTTAAAACGCTAGGTGAATAAGCGCTACTATTTAATTATATTGAAGGCTGTTCTCCAGAGGAGCTGGGAAGTTCCTCCGGCCCCTTTAAGAAATAGCTCGTCCTACTCGGTTTAGCTCTGGCCCCGGAGTCCGGAAGACCTGAGTTCAAATGTGACCTCTGACACTTCCTATCTGTGTGGCCCTTGGGCAAGTCACTTAACCCCGTCTACCTCAGTTTTCCTCATCTGTAAAGTGAGCTGGAGAAGAAAATGGCACACCACTCCGATATCTTTGCCAAGCATACCCCAAATGGGGTGACGGAGAGCGAGACACAACTGAAAGGACTCAAGAACAACACTTCTCCGTTGGCCTTCCTTTACCAAGATGGCCTCCGCTCCGCGACTCCCCATTGGTCCGGCCGCGCAGCGGAGGCGGGCCCACGATTCCCTACTCTCTCGCCCGCAAGGTGTAGAGAAGGCCCCTCCGCCCGAGGCCGGATGTGACGTCACTAGTGCGTCTCCGCCGGCTTCGGGGGCGGGGCGCGGAGAGAACCAGATCGAGGCTGGGGGAGGCCCGGAGCGCGGAAGCGGAGAGGCGGGTGAGTGGGGGCGCCTGGGAGGGGGAGGGGAGGAGGCAGCGCTGGGGGGAACGCGACACCTGCCGGGCCCGGCATCTGTTGGGCCCTTCTCTGGTGTCTCCTGCTTCTTGTCTCTCCGTCTCTGTGTCATCTCTGTCTCTCTCTCGTTTCACCCTGTTTTTCCTTGTCTCTCATCTCTCTGTCTCTCTGTCTCTCTCTAGTCTCACCCTGTCTCTCCTTGTCTCTCATCTCTCTGTCTCTCTGTCTCCGTCTCTTTTCTGTCCTTGTCTCTCATCTCTGTTTCTCTCTGTCTCTGTCTCCATCTCTTTTCTGTCCTTGTCTGTCTCTCTTCTCTCTGCCTCTCTCTAGTCTCACCCTGTCTCTCCTTGTCTCTCATCTCTCTGTCTGTCTCTATCTCTCTCCTCACCCTGTCTCTCCTTGTCTCTCATCTCTCTCACTCTCTAAGTCTGTCTCTTGTCTCTCTCTGAGTCTCTCTGTCTCTCCCTTTCTCCTCCACTGTCTGCCTGTCTCTCTCCTCTCCATCTCCTGTGTCTTGTCTCTGCCCCTCTGCCATTCTCCCTCTCTCCCCCATCTGTCTCCATTCTCTCTCTGTCTCTGTCTCCCTTCCCCATCCTGTCCTTGTCAGGCTCCACCTCCCTCTCCCTCATGTTCCCCATTTTCCTTGGGCCTATCTATCACCTTCACTCCTCCACCTCCCTCAGTTTCCCCATCTGTAAAATGAGAGGTTTGGCCTGGCTCCCTGTAAGATTCCTTCCTTCCAAGCGTCACTTTGAGGGCCTCGAAGCACCTACTATGTGCAGAGCCCGAGCTCAGAGCTCCCAGTAGGAGGCCCCAGGTGGCCATGCTGAAGGTGTTTGGGAACCTCCAGACATGCCATGCAGGTGTAGGCCCACCTCCACTTCGCAGCCCTTTCCCCGTACCAGGAAGTCATCCTTCAGCGTGCCCTGAAGAAGACTGGCGTTGCAAAGGTTAGGCTTGGGGCCTTGGAAAGGCCTGTGTGGTTTCCCCAGCACCATCTTGTCTGTTCTGCTGCTCTTCAGTTCTGGCACCAGCTCCTGTCCTCAGTGGCATCTACCTCAGATGTACAAGCTGGTGCATCTTCAGCCGATCACTCTCGATGCAGTGACCTGCAAGGCCCTTTCCTGGGGCCCCCTTTCCTTCTCTTTCGATACTATTCTGCTTGGTAATTTTATCAGCTCTCATAAATTCCATGATGATTTCTAATGCTAGTAATTCTTGGATTGCCTTTTCCAGCCCTGACCTCTCTCTTAACCTCCAGTCTCACATCTCTAGCTGCCTGTTGCACATCTCAAACTGGATGTTGCCTGGCAGATGTCTTAAACTCGACATGTGCAGAACCACACTTGTTGTCCTCTCTCCCAAGCCCTGCCCCTCCTCATTTCGCTCTGACCCTTGAGGATACCGCGTGTCATCCTTGATTCCTCACTCTTGCCCGCCCACGTATCTAATCTGTTGGCAAGCCCAGTTGGTTCTGACTTCATAACAACGTCCTTGTGACACTGTTACCACACTATAACAGGCCTCCTTCCCAGCTATTCTTCTTAAATTGCAGGTGTGGCAGTGTCACCCCTCCCTTTTCCCCCCCTATAATAAAACTCCAGTGCCTCCCTATTACCCTCAGGATCACATATAAAATGCCCTGTTTGGTTTCTTTACCAGCTAGGTGGTGCAGTGATAGAGCACTGGACTTGCAGTCAGGAAGACCTGAGTTCAAATTTGGCCTCTGTTACTTACTAGCTGTGTGACCCTGGGAAAGTCACTTTGCCCTGTTTTCTTCAGTTTCTTCATCTGTCAAATGAGCTGAAGAAGGAAATGGCAGACTGCTCCAGTATCTTTGCCAAGAAAACCTCAAATGGGGTCGTGGAGAGATGGACGTGACTGAAACAATTGGCCAACCACAACGGTTTGGCTTCTCAGGCCCTTTGCGGCTTGACCCCTCCCCCCTTCCAGTCTTCTTACACTTTACTCCCTCACAGACTCCGTGATGCAGGCACTGCCCTCATTACTGATCCTCACACAGAACTTTCCATCTCCCAGCCGAGCCATTCTCCCTCACGGTCTCCTGTGGCTGGTACTCTTTACCTCCTCATCTGCATCTCCTGAGCTGCTTGGCTGCCTCCAGCCTGGCCCAGGAAGCCTCTTCTGAGCCCCCTTAATTCTCACGCCGTCCTCTGTGGCTTAGTTCCCGTCTATCCTGAGTGTGTCACCTGTGCGTGGCTGCTTCCATCTTATCCTCCCTGGTGGACGGGGAGCTCCTCGACAGCAGACGCTGCCTTTGCCTTTCTTTGTATCCCCCGCGGTGCCTGGCACGTAGTAAGTGCTTGATAAATACTTGTTGGCTGACGGACTAATTCAGCCAACAGCAGTTTGTCATAGTCTGGACGTAGGCTTGTTTCATCTGTCTAGTTTTCTCGTCTGTGTCTTTGGATTGGTCTCTTGAGTGACCTTTGAAGGTACCCCGTAGGCATCCTCTGGGGCTTGACGCCCTCGCACAGCGTCTCCGCAAAGGGCACCTGGAGGACCCCACCGTCCCCAGGGGATCCTCTTTCCGTCTCACTCTGTGCTGGACGTCGTCCAGGATGGTGGCGAGCGTATTGGGCCAGCTTCCAGCTGTCTCCCTTTTAAAGTTGTCCTTGTGGGTCGGTCAGCAGAGGAGCCCAGAATAAGGTGCCTTTCTTAAAGCTTTTCGGAGTTTAATCTTCACATGTGCCTGGAAGGTGTTGGAGGAAAGCCTTGAAGGCTGCCTCTTCTGCCTCCTCAAACACAGCTTTGTAATCAGTAGACAAACCATAGTTTCTTGTATTTTCTATGTTACTCAGTTACTTCTGTGGCTTGTTTGTGGTCTACAAACCAGCCATCTCACCTTTTCATCAAGAGTACCCTCTGTGTATATGCACGAATCGTTCTCACCAAGATCTTTATTTGAAAAAGTTATCCGTGCCTTTTGGGTTTTTGGTGTTGTTGTTGTTGTTGTTGTTTTGGGCAAGGCAGTGGGGTTAAGTGCCTTGCCCAGGGTCACACAGTTAGTGAGTATCATGTGTCTGAGGTCGGATTTGAACTCAGGTCCCCCTGACTCCAGGGCTGGTACTCTATCCACTGTGCCACCTAGCTGCCCTGCCTTTTGTTTTTACATCACTGTCATCTCTGGATAAGCTTCCTTGTCTCCTCCCCTAGCATTAAATAAACCCCCCTTGTTTACTAAAGCCAGACCCACAGATGTGGTGGCTGCATCTGACTGCCCACCCATCTTCACCTACTCGGTCCTCCACTTCTCTGCCAAGAGGGAGAAGATCTTTCAGAAAGTTTGTCTAGAGATGACAGAGCAGGCTCAGGTGAGCCAGGGGCTGCTGAGGTCCTTTTTCAGAGAGTAACACTGTCTGTGATTTTCTTGTTGTTTGCTTCCTGACTTCCCTTTGAGATAGCTAGCTTGCAAACTCATCCTTCAGTGCTTTCAAAATAATGCTAGCACACATTTCTCCTCTCTACTTGCTTGGGTCTAACCACTTCTTGTTACTTCAGCTTGAGTCCTGTTTCTTCTTTCTCTTATGGCACACAGGATGCTGAACTGAGGTGTAGAGTAGAATGTGGTGATTTCACTCTTAGCAATGGGGAGACTTCAGAGATAACATTGCAGCCCTGTCCCATTTCTTCCGCCTTCCATCTTTTTGGCGTTCTCCTTCCACAGGATCATAGGCTTACAGCTAGGTAGGCCTTTAGAGATTTCTCAGCTTAGCTCATTTTGCAGGTGAGGACACCAATGCCCAGAGCTGAAGTGGCTTGCCCAAAGGAACACACATAATAAGTACAGTCCAGATCTGAGCCCAGGTCCTTTGACCCCAATCTTTACAGTGTGTATGTAACACTGCTCAAGCTTCATCTGTAAGTGACCTTAGTCTCAGATGCCCCACCGAACTCTCTGCAGGCATGTTTATTTCTAAGCACTTGTACAAATCCCAAGTGGTTTGTTTCATTGAAAAACACATTTGAAGTTAGAGTGACTTTTGCTGAATCATAGCAATGAGACGTGAAGGGACCTTAGAAGACATCTAGTCCTATATTCTCCTTTTACAGAGCGAAAACCAAGGCTCAAGCAGTGACTTGTCCAAAGTCCACTGGGACGAGGCTGTGCCTAGGAATGTCAGTTATTAGCTGCATAGCCTCAGCCAAATCCCTTTCCTTCTCAGGGCCCAAGTTTGCTCATTGGTAGAAGGAAGGGCATTGTTTAAATGCTTTCTGAGGTCCCTTCTCCTCCCAGCCAGTACCCCTACAGTTGGACTAGTGAGCCTTCCTGGAGGACATATGAACTAGGTATCAGAAGAAGTGGAATTTGGCTTGGGAAAGAAAAGACTTTCTGGTGGGAAGCTGTGTGGAGTCCAGCTTCAGTTAGAACTGAAAGATGAAAAGGAGATGAGGTTGACGGAGAGCCCTTCTAGTTTAGGGAGAAGTGGGAACAAGGCTGAAGTGCTAAGGCAGGGCCAGTCCATAGAAGGCATTGAATGCCAGGGTGAGAACTCATGCATTGTAAATCTTTAGCAGAACAAGCTGGTAGAGAGAGTAGTTCCACTTACTGGCACTTCCATCTAGTTTCAGGAGCCAATCTCCTTCAGTGCGGAATTTCAAATAGAATCCCCAAGACTTATCGGTGACTTCAGCATTCAATCCCAAAGGCGGTCTGGGTATCATAATCTTTGCAGTGATGTTTTGATGTTCTCTGTCAAGCCTCGTTGGGGTCTGAGGCAGAGGACAGTGTCTTGCGTTCCAAGGCAATTACCTGTCCTTTTGCTCTTCAGAGATCACTTAACAGAGACAAACTTGACTGAAATCTCATTTCCAAGTCTTAAATGCCTTGCTGTGCTAAGATGGGTGATGTTGGAGGGAGTGGACAGAGGAATAGCAAGACCTAGTCAGAGCTGGTTCTTCTGCTTCCCCCTCTGCCCAAATTTACAAAATTATCCACAGAGAAATCCAGCCTTCAGCAGACTAAATAAAGTGGCTTAATCTTCCTCTCAGATAGTGCCATGCACTGTACACTGAAAGCCCACTGTGAGGAGACCCTGGAGAAATTGAACACTGTTCCTGACCTTGCGATCGGGGAAGGGTGCGAGCCCTGTGATGCCTAAGGAAGGGGAGTGGGAGAAAGAACTACCTTCTTTGTCCTTATGCCTGGGGCAGGTGCCCTTCCTACTCCAGCCCCTTCAATGGGAGATTCCTCCTTTTCTGATCACAGCATCTCAGGGTGGGGGCCCTGGTAGATGCTGTCCAGAGTCCAGACCAAGCCCTGTCTGAACACTGTACTCCAACACACCTGACGAGGGTCACACAGCCTGGCCATCCGTCACACTTCAGGATAGCCCAAAATGTCAGAAAAGGCCCTTCCTGCCTGAAGCCTAAATCCCCCTTCCTGAAACTCCATCTATTGACTCAACTTCTCCGCTCGCTGGGGCCGAGAAGACAAACCCTCTTCTGCGTGAAGGCTGCCATCATCCCCCCCTTTCCTCTTCCCTGGTTCCCTTATCCATGTTCTTCCTAGTAGTGATGATTGGTCCTCTTCAGCTTGTGATATCTACTTATGGATGAGAAGGTGAGAAGGATTGATGCTTGTCAACTGTAGAGAAGGCAAGCTGCACAGCGGTTCTGAAAAAGATCTCAGGGTTTTAGTGGACAGCCAGCTTAGCAAGGCATCAGTGTGACGCAGCAGCCGACAGAGGCTGAATAAATAGGACCATTGTGCAGAGGGAGGAGCTGATGACTGTGACTCCTCCCTGTGCCCTAGCCTGCCCAGACCACACTTGGGGTAACCCTGACAGACCACAGTGCTTCCAGGGCAGGACAGCCTGCTGGGAGAAGATCCAAGAGACCCTGGGAGGACTGGCCAAGCGGGGAATGTGGCAGCTTTCTGGAAGCTTTGGAAGAGCTGTTCTATCAAGGCATTAGCCTTGTTCTGCCCGACTCCCCAGGGATCAGCTGGGGGAAGTTGCAGGGAGAGACATTTGGCATAACAGCCCCTCCCTCCCAGGTGTTGTGGGGGTCCCATGAGATAATCATTGTAAAGCCCCTGCCCCAGGGCCTGGCACAGAGTGGGCACTGTAAAAATATTGGCTGTCCTTAATGGTGGTGGTGGTGGAGATGGTTATTGATGTAAGGAAAGACTTCTAGCCATTGGATCTGCTCCAAATGGTGATGGGCTTCCTTGGGAGCCTCCCAGGAGAGATTCAGGCCAAGGCTGGACTAGTGACCCCTCTGGGGAGTCTGATTACGAGGGTGAGCAAGGTGGCTGAAGTCTCTAAGGAGCACTTGCTTTCTCTTTCCCACTCCAGAACAACCCAGCCCTGATGCCTGACCACGGAGATGTGAGCCTCCCCCCGGACGAGAGGGTCAGAGCCCTCATCCAGGTAGGCAGCGCAGTGGAGGTCAACGAAGATGTTCCCCCCCGCCGATACTTTCGTTCAGGAGTGGAGATCATCCGCATGGCGTCTGTTTACTTTGAGGAAGGCAACATCGAGAATGCCTTCATCCTCTACAACAAATATATCACGTAAGAACACCTTTCTTTCACCTCCCCGGGGCGGGCTCCAGCCTCAGTGCTACTCATTTCCTCATGATCCCTCTCGCTGGAGAGCCTATTTTGCGATACGAATATGTCTTTGCAGTAGATCCTCTTCTTTTCTTGTTGATATTACCGTGGAAGGTAATATTTCCATGGGTTGAACTTCATATACCAGTAGCATCCATTGATCAGTCAGTGAACACTTATTAAGCACCTTCTGTGTGCCAGGCACTCTCTTGGGTGCTGGGGATACCAGGACACAAATTGTTCTTCCACTGCAGGAGCCTTTAAGGGCAGGGAGAGAATGGAGGGAAAGACATCACCAGCTTGGGGGCCGAAGAGGCCCGAGACAAGAGTATTGAAGGAGACTAGACATTGAGAAAAGGCAGAACTGAGGAGGAACCACCAGGACAAAGTCTCAGAGGTGGGAAATGAAGTTATCGTGTGTGAGAAATAGCAAGAATGCCAGGATACCTGCTTTGTTGAGGGCAAAAATGAAGTTAGGCTTTGGGGCCAAACAAACGTAGGCATTGGTGCCTCATGCTGGAGGTGAGAAGGAAGCCCTGCAGCTCACTGTGTCCTGGGGTCTCATGTTAAAGCTGAGCTTTGGGAAGAACACCTAGGCAGGTGGGAATGTAGCGGACACATAGGGTCGCCTTGCCTCAAGCCCTCAGAAGACTATTTCAGGTGATGAGGCCTGGACCAGGGCGATGGCTGGCTGACTGTAGAAAAGGGGGTGTGCCGAGAGACGTTTAGGGTTGCAACTGCATGGCCCAACACTGGGAGGGTGGCCAGGCTGCTGGGCTCATCTACTGACGAGGGCTTTTAATACAGCCATTCTGGGATTGAAGCTAGGCCAGGGTTTCCAGCCAAAATTTTTAGGAGTCCAAATTCTCCTTGCTTTGAGGCTAAGTGGATTCGACAGGCATGACCTCTCTTGCCAAGTTGTTGGGAGGGTTCTAGGTTTAGAACTAGAAGAAGTTTTAGAGATCTGGTTGTCCACTCCATCCATTTGACAAAGAAACCGAGGCCCAGAGAGGTGGGAAGTGGGGATGGGATGGGATTTGGTTCTAGATCTTGGATTCTACAAGAATTCCTGCCTTTGGCAGTCTGGTCAAGCCTAGAGGTTTTCTCAGCATCCTGATTTTAAATAATTGAAGGAAAGGTTAGGTTCTAGTTAGAGGCTAGGAAAAAGGAAGAGGTATTCTTTTCACAGAGCCCCTGAAATCTCTCCATGGTCCTCTCGGGGCATCTGTGGACCTCAGATGAAGGACTCCAACTATAACGGCTTTCCCATTTTTCTGGTAGATTCTCTCCTACGTCCTTTATCTCAGTCACCCTAATCATAGAACATCATTGCTTATGAACAGTGTGCCAGCCTTTACACTTAAGGAGCATACCATCTCAGGGTGAGACAGCACCCTAGGAGAAATTCAGTATTGCTTGTGAAAAAAAATGAAATAATATGGAAGAGAAGGCAGTGAGTTGTCATGGAGAGAGCCTGAGACTGAATCAGGAGAGATCTGGGGTCAATACTGCTTCCAACACTCATTATCTGTCTAAGCCTCAGTCTCCTTATCTGTAAAAGGGGGTCAATAACCTGTGCTGCCTCCTTTCCCAGTTTTTTTCATGGAGAACAAATGAGATCCTGGATGCTAGGTGTTTTTCAAAACTCAAAGTGCTCTATAATTCCAAATATTATTAAGGAAGTCATTATGCTGTCAGGGCCTCAGTGCCCTGCTTTTCCTCTTCTGTCCTTTCCTCTAGGCCTTTCTCTGTGGGCACCTACCCACTGGCATAAAGGCAGCCTTCATGAGTTCATCAGTTCATCTGACTGCACTCTTTTCCAGCCAGGAGCTCTGTTCTCTTTCTGCCAGTGGCTTGGGATGTCTAGCAGTACTTTAAAGGCTCTGGGAAGAGGGTTACAAAGGGCACTACAATGCAAATGACCAGCAGAAGTTCTCATTGGGGGATCCAGGAACTGCTTTTTCTTACAATTGGGTTGATCTCGGTATTTCAGCAGAATTGGTTTTCTTTATAGTACTGTCTGCTTCATTTTATGCATTTAAAAATGTCATTCCAAGAAGGGTTCCATACGCTGCACCAGAGTGACAGTTCTGGGCCCGAGGGTTCCAGGACACAACAGAGGCGAAGAGCCATGACCCCAAAAAATGTTGTTTGTTGGCTTTGGGTTTTTGCCATGGAGCCTTGCCCTGGTGGTCACGCACCCTCAAAGAGTGAAGCTGCCTGCAGTTGTTATGGCTGGGCGCTGCTGCCTTTCCCACACCACCACGTATCACACACACACACACACACACACACACACACACTCACACACGCTCACCCCTCTGTCTCTCTCAGTTTGTCTTTACTGTATTTTAATCACATCTCAATATGACTGGTTTTCTTTGTAACCCAATGTATTTTATTTTAGACATTTAGAAACTGGTATGAGCAGAGGTCCACAGATCCACCTCACAAAAAAGCTCAGAAACCTCTGCTCTAAGGACAGATTCTTGCCAGAAAGAGACCACCAGCTAGAAGCTTTTTAGCGACACCTTTCCTTCACTTGCATTGCTGACGCCGCGGACCCGCCCCTGCTAGGTGGCCACAGGGGAGCTTCTTGGAGAGAGCCGCTGCTGAGGCCTCCTGCAGGCCACCCTAGCGAGTCCTGACTTCCCTGTAGTTCGGTAGGGCACGGAGCGGTGCTTCAGCTCCTCTGGGCTAGTCTGAAAGCCTGGAGCGATCAAGTGCTAAAGGAAGGGTTTTTGGGCAGTTTGGACTTGAGAAGGGATGACGGAGGACCAAGTGGCTCCGCTCCCCCGCATAGGACTCTGGCCCTAGACTCCGGCCTGGTGGGCATCTGGCAAGTGCTGCCAGCAAGGTCACCAGGATACTCACTTCACTGTAGAAATTCTGAAGATTTCTGAACCTGATCATTCACGTTCCTCGAATGCTTCTGGGTTTACAAAGCACGCTGGTCCCAGCAGCCTGGCGAGGTAGGACTCAACTCAGTAAACCTTTATGAAGCACCTGCTGTGTGCCAGACACTGCAGTGAGCGCCGAGGCTGGTTTCTTGCCTTTCTTTGTATCTTACCCCAGAGCCTGGCATACAGTGAGTGCTTACTAAATGCTGGGTGATCACCTGGTTGCTTGTACATCAGCCTTCCTTTGGAGAGGGCTGTGATCTGGACTCTCCAGCTCACTCTCCACTTCCCATCTACAGTTCTGCTCGGTTTGGACTCCACGGGACGTAGTCCCATGCCAGGTACCCCCGATACCCCTCCCTTCCCAGCTTCCTTCTGCGTGCTGTCTTCCCAGGTTAGACTGTAAGTTCCTTGAGGCCAGGGACTGTCTTTTTCTTATTTGTAGTCTTGAAGGAAGCTGGGAAATAAGTGAGGGAATGGGGTTCAGCTGGCTTGCATTTGTCCAAGTTCTTGCAGATAGAGGCCGTGTGCTCATCACTGTGATAGGTGCAGGAAATAAGACAGACAAAAGTAAGAGGCTCCCTGCTGTATCGGGGCTCGAGCTCTACTGGCAGGCCTCCCCTCAGACCCAGAGAGCCCCAGTGCTGGGCCTTGGTCAGGGGGTCGATGAGATGGACCCCCTGGCCTCAAATCCAGTGCTCTTTCTACTGCCCTTCATGAGAGCTGCTTGGGAGCTGCTGGGAATGCACCCTGCATTCCTTATGGCTGGCGTACCAGGCCCCTGCCTCTGCTCACCACCCTAGCCTCACCAACTGCAAATAGGCTCCAAAGCCAGACAGTTCTTAACCTGGGGTCCAGAGTCCATAGGGATGTTTCAGATAGTCCGTGAACTTGGATGGGGAAAAAAAACCACGCCCTTACCTCTATTTTTACTAACTCTTGGTTTTGTTTGTAACCCTCAGCATTTTATTTTATGCCCTTAAAACATGATTGTGAGCCGGATACCCCAGCTTGGCCAGACTGACTGTCCAAGGGGTCCAGGCCCCAAAGAAGGTAAAAAAAGCCCTGCTTGGAGCGTCAGAGATACTTTCATGACAGGTTGGCAGTAGATGAAGGCTAGATGAGCCTCCCCCAGCCCGGAGCCAGTGGCTTCCCAGCAGCCCCCCCTCCCCAACCCCTCCCTCTACCCTCTTCCTCTAGGAATGTGCTGCCTTTTGTAGACCCGAGTTTAAGGGACGGATCCTCAGCAGAATGAATTCAGTGCATTTTTCCCTGATGAACATGAGCAGTAGCCACTCCTGCCGTGGACACTTTCAGAGCTTTTTATGGGCATCGGGGGAGCCTACAGGGAAGGGATCTATGAAGTACCTAGGCAGCTCCTCTCTGGGCTCTGAGAGCCTCTCACAGCCAAGCCTCCTAATCCAAACGTGCTGGGGCTCTGCTGCCCGGCCGGCTCCCATCCTCCCCTCCCTGTCTGCAGTGGAGGAGGGTGCCCCGTGCTGCTTTGGTGCTGCTTTTAATGAAGCTCTTTTCTCTTTGACATGTCTGCGCTCCCGGGGCCCCAGCCAGACGTGACCCTGCCTTCTCTGTACACATCTGGGCTGCAGCTATTCAGTACCTGCTGCACTGCTAACATGAATCGGCCCGTTCTTAGGGTGATCGTCATTGTGGTGGGGGCGGCTGGGAGGCTGAAACTTGGAGTGCTCTGTTCCCTGGCTAGGGAGGCTGCCTGCATAGGACGCTTTCTCTATGGCTTAGCAGTGGAGTCCTGGCCTAGGCATCAGGGGATGGGAGCTCAGTGACCATGTAGTCCAACCCATGTGGAAAAGGCATCCCAGCTGTAAGGTCTGCTTGGAGATCTCTGTGGAGGGGGAGCTGCCACCTCCCACTATGAGCCTCAGCTTTGCCACTGACTAGTTACATAAGCTTGAGCAGTTGCCTTCCACTCCCTGAGCCTCAGTTTCCTGGATCTATGGGATGGAGAGGTTGGATCAGGGGATTTCTGATGCTCCTCTTACCTCTAAATCTGTGAATCTCTGGGAGCTAATCCTCATTGTAGTTCAGTCTTATCTGACTCTTCCCTGTGTCCCCTGGACCGGCTATCCATGCAGAGGTGCAGGAGGGCTTTGCCATTCCTTCTCCAGTTTTAGTTGGGGGTTAAGTGACATGCTCAGTCACAGAGCTAGTATTACTTGTCTGAGCTCAGATGTGAACTCTAGTCCTTCTGACTCTGAGCCCAGTGCCCTGTCCCCTGCACCGCCTGGCTGCCCCAAGACTCTTGGGTACTATTTTCCCATTAACAGCTGACTCTTCTAGTAGCCTTGGGCAAGTCATTCTCTGGCTATCACCACATCAAAACTGCTTTACCTTTGTAACTTGACTGTCCACCCTTTTCCAAACTTCCCTAGTTAGAGTCGAAGTGCCTTGAAAGTGGGCACGAGATCGTCTTGTGGTTTTCTTTCCCCGTACCTGGCACTCAGGAGGAAAGCCAGAACTGTGCTGAAAGATTTATTAGTTCATGCTGGAAACACTTTGTGATCTTCTGCTGTGCATGGTAGAGGCTACAGAGAGGCCAGAGACATGGTTGCTCCCCTCAGGGAGATTGTCCTTTGGTTGCCCAGATGTCAGAAGGGTTTGCTAAGCGTGATATGCACGCACACACACATGTGTGTGTGTACACGTGTACACATGGACATACATATTTACGTATGCAGTGACCACTCTGCCCATTCCAAAGCCCTGCCCAGTGCACTGGTGCCCCGAGGGGCTGCCTAGGCCTCTCTTTGTTGTTAGCACGGCCAGGTAGGCAGACCTGTCATAGCCTCAGCTCCTTAAAGGCAGGGACAAGGTCTGGCTTCATAGGGCTTGGTTTCTCCAAGGCTTTTGCAGCAGAGGTTCTGGCTGTAAGCTTTTGAGGTCTGGGCCCAGGCATAGATGGACTGCGTGGCTTTGGGCCAGAGATCTTTGCTAAATTCAAGCTTCCTGGCTGTGTCGGCTGTGAGCTGACCACATTTTTAGCCACAACAATTCTCAAAGAACATCTCCTAAGTGGGAGAGGGCTTGTGTTCTGTTAGGGGAGGGAGCTCCATGATTCGTGTTTCATTCCCTCACACTTGTGCCCAGAGAAGTCACAGATCCTTCAGTATCTTTGTCTGACAGGATTGTGATTCTGGAGGTGGAAGCAACCTCAGAGACCATCTAAAGTAACCTCCTCATTTTATAGATGAGGGAACTGAGACCCAGGAATAGGAGGTGAGTTGTCCAAGGTCATACAGGGAGCAAGTGTCTAAGACAGGATTTGAACTCAGGCAATTGGACTGCTTTGCACATAGTAGGCACTTATTTGCATCCCTGTCCAAGGGACTGTTTCAAGTGGAATTGAAATAACCTCTAGACTTGTTCAGATGGAGATTAAGCAAACAAGCCCTAAGGTCCATCCACGGCATTGGCAGATTCTGGCGGGGGGCAAGAGTCTACATCCCTTCGGCTGCTCCTTTCTGGGTGCCCGCTGCAGTGAAGGAATAGCTCTGAGCATGCTGGAAGATCTCAGAGTGGCAAGGGGTATCCCTGCCTTCCAGGCCCTCGGTTCCTTCCTTCTGCCAGCAGCCCACCTCCTCATTTTCCCTCTGAATCTTCTTCCTTGTCCTAACTTTCGCTGTTCTCCCAGTGACCTCCCTGGGACCACTCAGAGACCTTCCATTGTCCCTCCGCCGCTCAGTGGGCATCTGCCTACAGAGTCACTCCTGCCTCCCTAGCCGCCCTGCCACCAGACTCATCGAGGCCCTTATTACCCACCCTTCCATGCCAACACTCTTCTTCCCCTCTGATTCATCCTCCTGCTGCATATTGGTCTCTGTGACCCAAATGCTTTTGGGGGGTCTCCTTTGGAGGGCATTCAAGGCCCTTCACCCTCTGACTCTGGCCTTCCATTGTACCCCTATCTCACATTCCCTTCCTTTACCTGTGCCACACTAGAATGAAACCAGATTGTTTGCTGTTCTCTAAACATGCCCTGCACTTTCTCACCTCCAGACTTTTGCTTACACTGTTCCCTACTCCAAGACTGCCTTCCCTTCATTTTGGCTTCATAATAACCTCATTGTCCTCTCAGGCTGGCAGACTGCCAGGTCAAAAGCCCTGTCAGATCTAGGAAGCCTTCCTGGCTTCCCCTAGCTTGAAAGGATCGATTTCTTCCTTGTCCAACCTCACAGCAGTTTGTAACTTCCTGAGCTTCTAATCTCATTTGTGGCATGTTCATCTGCTCTGGCTAGATGTTAGATTCCTTGAAGATGGAGACTGTCACATTATCTTTGTGTCTTCCCGAGTTCCTGCACCATGCACAATGCCAGGGGGGTGAAGGAGTGGTGTGGTGGGGCAGATGAACGGTACGCTGTGTTAGAGTCTAGTCTACCCCACAGGCTCCAGGAGTAGTGAAGACAGTAGGTGCTCCAGTCAGAGCAAGAGGAGCTCATTCTCAGGTATGAGCTTTCCAGAAAGTTCCTGGGAGGTGAGGTTGTGGCATCGAAGGATTGATAGGATTCTGAAAGATGATTGAAAAGCAGGAGCAGAGGTGGAAGAGGGACTGTTGGGGAAACTGTGAGGACTGTTCAGTTTGTCTGGAGGACAGCTGGTCAGTAACAAGTACCCCGAGCCTAAAGCCTTTGTCTACCATTGGCCTTCCTGAGGGACACACAGCGGTGTGTAGGATACTCCCCTCAGAGGACTGGGTTGCAAGTCAAGGACCCCACCTCCACCAGGCATGCGACCTTTCTGGGGGCAGCCGCTCATGGTTTTCATCAGTGGCATGTGGTAGCCATTCTGTTGAGGTTACTAGGAGAAAGTGAAAATGCTGGGCAAGGCTTCCTGCAGGCTTCAAACCCAGGAAGGAGTCCCTGCTCTTAAGGGGCTCCCAACTGATGGAGGAGAACCCCAAAAAGAATCTGAGGGGAGGGACAGTACCCAGCACAAAGGCATGAGAAAGTCCCCCTTTCAGGGGAGAAATGATGAGATGTCTAGCCTGGCCCCCGTTCTGAAGTTGAGGGTTTGGGAGGAACTCTTCGATGTCCACCCTCCACCCCCTCCAGTCAGAGGAAGGGACATGAGTTTCAGAAATTATTTGATCCTTCAGGATGCTGAGTTTCTAGAGACAGGGGAGCAGCCTAGTGAGAAATGACAAGGTGTCTGCCTGGGCCTACTCCTCAAGTGGTGTACCTTGGGACAGCTGGACAGGTGGTATAGTGGTTAGAGTTCCAGGCCTGGAGTGGGGAAGACCTGAGTTCAAATGTGACCTCACACACATACTGGCTGTATGACCTTGGGCAATTCACCTAACCTCTGTTTGCATCAGTTTCCTCATCTGTAAAATGGGGATAATGATCATACCTGCCTTCCAGGGTTGTTGTAAGGACCAAGTGAGATAATTGTAAAGTGCTTGGCACACAGTAAGCACCATATAAATGATAGCTGTCACCATCTTCATCATCATTATTATATTATTGTTGTTAAATGGAGGCTGTGGAAGGAGCTCTCTGATGTCTGCCCTGTCCAGTCAGAGGCAAGGAGCGGCCTGAGGGGTGCCCCTCCCCTCACAAGAGCTCTGGGCAGTAGGTCCTATTGCCATACCTGTTTTACAGATGAGGAAACTGAGGCAGATGGCGATCAAGTGACTTCCCAGGGTCACAGAGACAGTAAGTGTCTGCAACTACATTTGAACTCGGGTCTTTCTGACTCTAGGTCTCCCCTCATCTCCTTGACACCACCTCAGTGCCTAGAGTATCTCCCATTTCACGTGTAAGGATCTTATACATACATGGCTGTTTGTCTCCCCATTCAATTGTGAGCCCCTTGAGGGCAGGGACCAGGTTTTTGCCTTTCTTTGAAACCTGTCTTTGGAGAGGCAGCAGCTGCCATAGTCAGAGATAAGGAAGTGGGTCAGCGGGTAGGGGCACCGAGGCTGGCACGCTGACCCAGTTCCTTGCTTTGGTTTCCTTTGAGGCAGCGTCTGTGCTCTCGAGGTGATGGGCGGGAGCCTTTGCTCCTTGCCTGCTCTGCTGGCCCGGGCCGAGGCTCCTCCCACACCTCCCCTGCTTCTACTCCTGAGGATGGAGGGAAGGCTGGCTGGCCAACGTACACTGGCTGTTGGCAGCTCATGCTCCAGCTGTTTGTTTTGGCCTCTGCTTCTGTTCATTTGGCTTCAGTCCTATTAAAAGCGATCTCCATTCTGAGGTCCTCTAACGTGTCCACTAACCGCTGGAGGCAGATTTCCATGTGGAGCAAAATTGCGACCCTTGTTGAACATTTCAAAGTAAGTCCTTCGTAATCGCTTCCTGATGCCTGGAGTAAACAGTGCTTCCCAAGGCTGGGACTTGATCGCAGCTAAGGAGGCTCTGTAAGCGCCTTGCCTCCCTTTGGAGGAGAGGTGAAGGGACTCTCTACCGCTTTTGTTCCTCAAGAGAGACAGGCTTGCTTTGAAGAGCACATGACAAATATGTGCTCAATACCCCATCCAGCCCATGGGGTCAGACCCCAGATTGGAACGAGACAAGGAGCAGTGTGTGGTGCAGACCACGGAAGCCTCTGAAGGAGCGCGGGACCCGCATAAGGCCCATGTTGCCGCAGAACCCAGGGCTGGCCAGAGTCCAGCCAGCACCCATAGCCACAGAACCATATCCGGGAAAATTCCTTTTGCCAGTTAGTTCTCCCTTTCAGAAATGCATCTCTTTGGCTTGGAGGCCAGAGTACCACAACTGGACAGGCATGAGTCTGGCTGCTTCAGAACAGGCAGTGGCGTGTTTGTGTGGGGCAGGCCTGGGCTGATGGGCTGTGCTCACCCTTCCGGGCCCGAAGGAGAGCCCTTCTACAGGGAGGCGTTGCCGAGGGGGGCCTTTGCCTGCCGCCTGCTTGCGTGTCCCCATTCTTGCCCACCAGTGCCGATGCTGAGTGCTCACGCTGACCCACAGAGACCGGAGGCACGGCAGGTCTGGGTCCCTCTGCCTTCCTCCTGGAGGCATACTCAGTCTGCTCTGTTCTCTCCTAGGCTTTTTCTTGAGAAGCTACCAAAGCACAGAGACTACAAGACGGCGGTCATCCCTGAAAAGAAAGAAACTGTGAAGGTGAGCTCCTCACTCGTGCAGGGCCCCCAGCACTGCCCTCCCTGTGAAAGGCTCCGGCCTGCCATTGCAAAGTGGGGTCTGCCGCGGCTGCTTTGTCCTGCCACAGCCATCCTGGAGCAGGCTGGCCTTCTGTTTATTTTTATCCACACTGGGGTCTTTTCATTTCCCCCCTGTCACTCTTCCTCCCCCTCCTCAAGGGCCACCCCTCATAGCAAAGAAGTTTAAAAAGAAAAAGAGGAGGAAGAGGAAAAGCCAAAAAGGAGAGCTGATCAGAATGGTGACAAGCTGAGGTCCCCCTCCCAGTGGGCTGCCTGGCTCTGCAGAGGAGCCGGGGAGAGGTCTCTGGTTGCTTTTTTGTAGTCGCACTCATGTCTTCATGCCTTCTGTAATCCATTGTTAATGCTGTGCACTCAGCTTCACAATGAGACAAGACGAGAATGCCCCTTAACATCCCTTCTCTTTGTTCTCTTTGTTGTGTCCCAGAAACTAAAAGAGATCGCTTTTCCCAAAGCAGAAGAGTTGAAGAAGGAGCTGCTAAAGAGATATACCAAAGAGTATGTGGAATACAATGGGAGAAAGGTCAGTGTGGCAGCTGGGAGCCTCTGCTGACCTCTCAGGATGGTGGCTCAGCCTGGCCTGCTGCCTCCTTCTGCCAGGAGGTGGCCATGATGCAGTAGTCGTCACAATAGCTCATACATCTCTATTGCGCTTTAAGGTCTGTTTTCTCATTTGAGCTCCACAAGAACCCTGGCAGGTAGGCGTTCCCATTATTCCCATTTTATAGATAAGGAAACCAAGGCAGGCAGAGGATAAGTACCTTGCACGGGGTCACACAGCCAGTAACTCTCTGAGGCTGGATTTGAACCCAGGTCTTCCTGATTCAAAGTCTGGCGCTGTCTCCACGACCTCCTCTATGTTATGGAAAAGGCAGTGGGGTCTTCAGGTAGTGGTGGTATTCCAGTGGTTGTTTGGACACTGGGGGGCAATCGCCTCTCTGAGTCTGCTTCCTTGATTGTAGAAAAGAGGACAGAATATTTGTGCTTCCTGTTTCCAAGGTGTGTGTCGACAGCAAAATGCTGAAATAGGGGATAAATACCCACAAGAAACGCCATAGGAATTCAGGGAAGCAGGGATGGAGTCCTCAGAACTCTGCGCTAAGCCTTGGATTGGCAGAGGGGAGGGCTGCTCCCGGAGGACTAGCAGCACGATGGGCCCCATGAACCCAAACGGGGAGGGGGAGCAGCTGTTAGGAGGCTCTGACTGGGTGTCCAGCCTCGTGTGAAGTGTAAGTGATGCAAAGAAAGGCATGAGCCGTCCCTTCCCTCAAGGAGCTCACATTCCAGTGGGAAGGAGATAATCATTAGGTACACTGAGTGAGAAGGTGGCTTTAAAGAGGAAGCCTCTAGCACTGACCTGGAGCGGGGATGGGGGAGGAAGGCCTGGGAGAAGCCTCAAGGCAAAGGTACAGAGAGGAGAGATGGATTGTAGTGGGCAGGGAACAGCAAGGCTGCCACTGGCTAAATCGTGGAGTAAACAGAGGGGAGGAAAGTGTAAAATGCCCCCCAAAGAACTTTATAGTTGACACTAGAGGTAATAGGGAGCCATGGAACCTCATTGAGAAAGGGGTGACGTGGTCAGAAAGTGCTTCAGGAAAAGCCCGTTGGCAGACGAGTGTAGTGGGAAGAGGCCAATTAGAGGTTGCCAGCCAAGCGATGATGAGGACCAGCTCCAGAAACACGGAGGGTGTAGGCGAGATGTGTGCGTGGTGGTGATGGGGCGGAGCACAGTAAGAAGGCCAGTCCAGCTGCGGTTGAGCGTGTCTATTGGGTAGTCTTCCTGAGGTTTGGGACCACTGCAGTGTGAGCCCAGATCACTTTCTTTCTTTGCAGAAGAGGGAAACAGAGGAGTTTGCTCGGAACTTGGCCATCCAGCAGCAGCTGGAAGAGGAACGACAGAGAGTAGCCCAGCAGAAGCAGCAGCAAGCAGAACAGGAACAGTTTCATGCCTTTGAAGAAATGATCCGTCGGCAGGAGCTGGAAAAGGAGCGCCTCCGGATAGTGCAGGAGTTTGGGAGGCCAGACGCAGGTCCCGAGGTTCCGGGTGGTCCCCTGGTACCTGGTGTAGAGAGGCCCCCGACAGAAGTGTTTCCTCCAGCGCCTGGCCTCCCTAGCCTGGGGTCCCTGCCAGCCAAGCCCCCGGCGGTGGACAGGTCCTTGAAGCCCGGAGCTCTGAGCAGCCCAGAGCATAGTGAGTCTTTCCCCAACCTTTGTGGTAGAGCCTGGGTTTGTGTCAAAAGAGGGACTGGCTAAGAGGGAGGTGACAGAAACCCACTTGAAAAAGTTCAGCGACTTGTTGTGCCGCTAGTCATTGTGGCTACAGGCCTTTACTCTAGGCCACGTGGCTGGGGGGAAACCCAGTTGTTTTTCTAGGTAGTCTCAGCATCCTTGGCATGAAAGCCAGCACTGTTGGGGAGTAACCTAAGGGTTGTGGGGGGTTTTGAGTTTTTTGTTTTTGGTGGGGTTTTTTTAGGCAGTTGGGGTTAAGTGACTTGCCCAGGGTCACACAGCTAGTAAGTGTCAAGTGTTTGGTCTGAGGCCAGATTTGAACTCAGGTCTTCCTGACTTCAGGGCCAGTGCTCTATCCACTGCGCCACCTAGCTGCCCCTGGGATTTGAGTTTTTCTCACTACATCCATCATTCTGTACCTCCTAGCACCTGACTGGTTTTACTTTTTTTTGGTGAGGCCAAAGAATTGTTTTCCCCTTGAAAGCACTTTTGATCCCTAAGGGCCTCAACTAAAATAAACATTCTGGACGATCAGCTCAGGAAAACAGCTCACGGCCTCTTGCCATTTTTTGACCGTCCAATGCTGGCCTCACAGATTCCCATTGTTGCATGGTGGTCACGGGCCCAGCTACCTGAGTAGGTGCAGAAATCACAGGCATGCCGTTGGCATGGAAGCCAGGATTGGTGGAAACCTCCCTCCAACCTGCCATTTAAGGAAATCCAATGAAATTCAGACTGAGCCAGGTGTCCTGGAGCCCCAGTTAAGGAAGTACTGTATGAGTTACAGCGAGATGCTCAGGAGAGGGGAATCTGGAAGAACTCTGCATTCCATGTGCCCAAACTGGCTATCGTTCAGGCTGCATTGGGCTCTGTTCCTCATACTCTCATTTTCTGAACTTCTGGTCATTCGAATTTTACAGCAGTTCGGATATTTGTGCAGAAAAGGCGAGAAACAGCAAGGTTTCCCTTTTCCCTCTTGGCTTCTGGCTCCTGTTTTTGTACTTTTTCAGGCTAATGGCCAGCTGGCTCTGAGTTTGATCTTGTAGAGATCGTCTCTGACTTAGATAAGAGTAATAGTGGACACAGCGTGGCTGCTTCACAGAAGATAAGATGTTTTCCACCCTTCAGTGCTATGAAGTACTTGCCGCAACTGTTGTCTTCTCCATTTTTCAGAGGAGAAAGCTAAGGTTCAGAGACCCTAAGTTGTGTGCCCAGGGTCACACAGCAGGCGAATGAGGGTCGAGGTGGGAGAGACCACGAGCATTTGTGTAGAACTTTACTGGATGCAGAGCTCTTGACACATGACATCTCCTGTGGTCCTCAGCCCTGGGACAGAGGGGCTTTTATTATCCCCATTTTACAGATGTGGAAACTGAGGCTCTGAGGGGGCAAAGTGACTTGCCCAGGGTCACACAACACAGACAGTGAGTATCTGAGACCAGATTCACACGCAGATCTTCCTGGCATCCCAGTCCAGCACTCATGCCACTGCATCACTTCCTCTGCAGATATCTTCCAGGCACCTTCTGGGCACAAGGCCTTGTGTTGGGTGCTAGAGATGCAAAGAAGAAGAAGGCAGACAGCCCTCCCCTCGAGGAGCTTACAGTCTAGTCCCAGCAACAGAACTTGTAGGCAACAAGAGGTCGTGAGTGCAGAATGAACCATGAAGGCGGATCCGTGGTGAAGAGTTTGCAGACTGGCAACATGAACCCAGTAGGTCTTGGAGGAAGCAGCCAGCGTAGCAACAGAGGGCGAGGTAGAGGAAGAAGAGGAGGAGAAAAAGGGAGGCAGAGGCAGAGCCATTGCAGGAGCTTCTCAGGCCCAGGCCCCCTCATTGTATGATTTGTGAGGGCTGCGGCACCTCCTTGTTTCTGTGGCTTTGAGTGTAGCATTTTGTTCTTCGGGGTTCCGTAGTCACACACGAGAAACAAGCAGACTTAGAACGTGGACCACTTTCTAAACATCCGTGGTTATGTGCTAACAGATGAGTCAGAACCAAGGGAAAGCCGAATCTCATTGAACACGTTTCCTGGAGGGACCATCCTTGCCCACCCCATCCCCCAGCAATACCTCCATGACCCCAAGTCTCCCTGAAGCTGACTCCCCTGGGAAATTCTCTTCAGAGCCTGAGACTTGGCCAGTCTTGGAGTCTTGAATTCAGATTAACAGAGCCCCGACCTCTGGAGTGATTTCAGCCTTCGATGCACTGTGTGACTTACCTGGGCCCCTCCATCTTCTAACTTGCCTGGAGCTCCCCAAAATAACTAAATCGGGAGATAGGCGTCTCCCCCAGTCACCTCGTGCTGCCACGGAGGCAGTCCCTTTCACTAGTATTTAAACCTCAACAAGAATGGAAAAGAAAAGTAAATAAACATGTGGCTGTCCAGCAAAATGAGGCCAACCTGATTTGGCTTGGGGGTCACTGGGCAGCTGGACTGTTTTCCCATTGATACAAGTAGCTGAACCCTTTGTTGATATCGACTGATAAAACAGACCTTCGGTTTCCATTTCTGTTCTCTGGGAGCCCATGGACAAGGAGTGGAAAGAAGAGGTTTCAGTAGCTGGTCTCCCCTTTGAGTAACCTTTGTTTTTGTAAGGCAGAGCCTAGCTTGGGGCTTTAGTAATGGGGCTAAGGCCGCACATCCCTCAGAACATCCTAGGCTTGTAGCCTCTGACCTTTCCCCTCTTACCTTTTGCAGTACCCACAGTAGATGGACTTCGCCATATGGTGGTGCCCCAGATGCTCTGCCCACAGTTTCTCCAGTTGGCAGATGCCAACACCGTCCGTGGTGTGGAGACGTGTGGGATCCTCTGTGGGAAGCTGGTAAAGTAAACTCCTCCCAGGTCTCCCCTCAGCGGTGGCCCTTTGCCAGAGGTCACCTAATCCACCCTGTGCCTGACCAAAGATGTGCTGGTCGTGAGGGCCCCCAGCCTCTGCTTACAGAGCTGCAGCGATGGGGGCCTCCCCCCGGAGGCCTCCCTCCCTTCACACTGGTCCCCCCTCAGAAGTGGATGCTCCTAGATGTTGCCGTTGTCCACCTTTCCGTATTTTAAATGTATCCTCCTCGTGCGATCACAGTCGTCCGCCGTGATGTGCTCATTAGTCAGGGACACTGAATCTCCAGTTCTTTCTTAAAATACCAAGTCATTGGCATTGTCAGCAAAGGTTATCAAGTGCCCGTGGCCTGCATAAAGAATACCCAAAGAGTGCACCTATACATTTCTTCTTTGGGTACTGTGCGAGGCTGATGCCTTGCACTTGGCAGGGAACAAATGTGTGAAGATGGCGGGCACCCAGGGCATCAGACACTGGGGGGCGGGCACCGTGTGCAAGAAGGCCTTCCTCCTCTGGGCCTCAGTTTTCCTGTCTGTGAACTGGGGCTTTGGACTAGATTGGGGGCTCTTATCCTGGAGTCCATGAACTTGTTTTTAAAAAAATATTTGGGTAGTTGCATTTCAGTGTATTTAGCTCCTCTTGTAATCCAGTGTATTCTATTGTAAGCATTTAAAAACATTTTTCTGAGAAGGAATCCAGAGAGGTCTAGGACACAAAACTGTTAAGATCCCGGGCCAGACAGTCTCTTAGGTCTTGTCCAGCTTTAAGGTCTGGGGTTGGCCAGTTGGCCCGGAGCGCAGGGTCTGTACAGGAGCACTGGGGGGTCAGGACACCAGACTGGCACAGCTCGCCTCCGCCAGGCCCCAGGAGCTGCCATGCTAGTTGCTCTGCCAATCATAATCGCTGCTTCTTCCTTCCCCTGTGACAGATGAAGAATGAGTTCACCATCACCCACGTCCTCATCCCCAAGCAGAGCTCAGGCCCTGATTACTGCAACACAGAGAACGAGGAGGAGCTGTTCCTCATCCAGGATCAGCAGGGCCTCATCACTCTGGGCTGGATACACGTAAGTGCCACCCGCGGCGTGCCACCCTGCCCCGTGGCAGACGCTCACACCGCTTTCCTTCCTGGGGGCATGCAGGCTTCTGGGCTCACGGGGTGCTGGGGCTGGCTGGAGTATCGCAGTCCCTCTCTCCCTGGGAGTGTGACACTAGGGGATTTCTCAGGAACTGTACTCAGAAATCCAGAGGTGGCAGGAGGGCCGTGAAGGGCGCTACTAACCACTCCAGGGACACCACATGAAGACGGACGGTCCTGAGGAGTGTGCACGCTGACCTGGCGCCTTGGTGTGGCTTCTCTGTGGCTCTTCCTCGGTTTGTCCTCTTCAGGGGGCTTGTTACACGGCCACGTAAAGGAGGTGGTGTTTGGGGTGCCGCCTCCTCACGGTCTGAGCGAGCTGCTCGTCCATTTCAGGTTCGCACATAACGCCTTCCCTTCGTTGTCACAAGCAGCATCTGGCTTCTCCTACAACGTGGACCTCCAGCCTTCTTCCTGTGGCCTCCCTGCCTCCATTCCAGTTGTTTGTCCCCACAGCCCTGAAGGCACTGAATTGGAGGCTGGAGAGACCTGGATTCCAATCCCACCCTGCTCTAGAAACATGGGCCAGTCAGGCCACAGGCATCAGTCAGGCACCTACTGTGGGCGCTGGGGAACCTAGATGAAGATAAAGCACTCCTGGCCTTTAAGGAGTCTGTGTGCTCGCGGGAGATGCGCGCATACTGGTACACACAAAAGACATTCAGTCTGGCTGAGGGGAGAGGCAGCCTCGCAGCTGGGGGACGCTGTAGCCAAGATGAGAAGGAGCTCCAGGCCTGGGGGATGTCTGGGCAGAGTCATGGAGGCCGAAGGGAGAGAGTAGAGCCAGAAGGGGATGGGCTGGAAATGTCAGACCAAGGAGTTTGGAGGGGTCCTGAGGCAGGGGGACACTCCCAAGTTTGTTAAGCTGGGCAGGGACACAGGCAGCCTGTGCTTCTGTCATCACTTGTCTTCTCTAAGGCTCAGTTTCCTCATCTGTAAAATGGGGATGATGATGCCAGCTGTACTTGCTTCACAAAGTTGTTGAGAAAAAACCCAGGTACAGTAAATGTTGGGTGACCCTAAGAGTTCTAGATAGAAGGCGGCCACTCCCTGATTGTCTCCTGATCAGCCCCGGGTCCTCCCCCTATGTCCAGGCTGTCTTTCTCACTCTCCCGGCATGGGATGCAACACCACGTGGCTTCCTCTCATCCCTTCTGAGTGGGTATCCTCTCCGGTTCCGTCCTCAGCCGCCCTTCCCTTTGCTCAGGTCACTCTTTCCTATTGGATCTCATCGATCTCAGGGTTTGAATTGTCTGTCCTGGTTAATGGTGCTTGGATTTTGGCCTCTGTCCTTGGGCTCTCCATTCCCACTGCCACCCCACCCTCCACTCCATGTCCTGCTGGCCTAAAGTGGAACTCAACTGGGTCACCTGCCCTCTCACTGCCCGATTTCTCCAAATGGCACCACTGTTCTGCCAGCCCGCCAGACGTGGCTTCTTCCTGGATGTTTGAGCTTCCCTCCTGACGTCTTTGATCTTCTCCTCAGCGCTTCTTGTGTGTGGCCCTTTCTTTCCAGGCCCACAGCCGCCCTCCTGGCACACCAGCCTTTTCTTACTTCCTACCCAGGCTGCTGCAGTAGCCTGTTCCCCATGTTTCTGCCCTCAGTCTCTCCCCTCCTCTAATCATTTGGCACACTGCTGCCGGATGAACCTTAAGAGGATCACAAAACCGACTGCCTGCTGCTGTGCAGAGTCCCTCACAACCTGGGTTACTAGCCTTCTTTCTTATTATCCTCCCATGACCCCTGTAGTTCAGCACACTTGGCCTCCAGGTGACCTCTGTTATGGCCTTCCTGTCCCTGCTTGAGGTGGGCAGGTGGGAGCTGGGACCAGCCATGAGTCGGAGAGCCAAGGTGTCCTGGGGGATGGACCCAGGCTGCCGAGTGGACTTGACAAGGCTCCCCAGAAGGCAGCCCCCTCTGTAGCCAGCATCCTCCCCTGGGCCCTGGCCTTGGGCCTCAGCCCTTTCCGAAGGCCCAGCTGCCTCCCGTTTCTGATCCCCTTGTGTCCGTCTGTCTTTCTGCCATCTGGGCTGACCCAGCTCAAGGTGCGATCCGGGTTTGAGTCCTGGCTTTGCTCCCATTTAGGATGACCGACCAATCCTGCTCCTTCTCACACATTCCCCTTGTCCAGCATAGGTAAGGGTGGCTCTTTGTAGCCAGAGGTCCTCACGTCCACCCTCCCAGCTCACAGAGACTTTATGAGAATCCATTCCTCATGGGCCTGACACGTCCCTCCTACAAATACCTCATCCCTCCCTTGGTGCGTGCTAGCTTTCTCTGTCAAGTCAAGCCCGTCTGGGAATATTTGGGCGCCCTGCACCCCGTGGGGTTATTTCCTCACTTAAAAGACTGTATATCCAGCAGTTTGGAGACGTAGCTGAGGAAAGCCTAGAAAAGGGATTTGAAGTGCTATCAGAAGAGAACATGAGGCCCTCCGGGGCATTTTCCTTCATCCCTATTGATTTTCGGTGCAGCTGCAGATTCTGCTTTGAGAAAAGTCTGTAATGAGGCTGAGAGCATTCTTTTTTCCTTTTAAAAATCTCTGTATTGCTGTCTCTTATTTTGGACCACCTTTACTGGGCACCTAGTCGTCGCCAGGCCTGGAGTCTGGAAGACTTGAGTTCAAATTCGACCTCAGATACTCACTAGCAGGGTAGCCCTGGGCAAGTTACCTAACCTCTGCCTGCCTCAGTTTCCTCATTTGTAAAATGGGGATGATAATAGCGCCTTCCTCCCAAGGTTGTTGGGAGAATCAGATGAGATGATACTTGTAAAGCCCTTAGCCCAATGCCTGGCACATAATAAACACCATGTAAATGTTAGCTGTTATCACTCCTAGCATTATTATTTATATTAATTTCCAAATATATCCTTTCACCTACACAGTGAGCCTTCTCTTGTAACAAAGAAAGTGGGGTGCATTGTTTTCATGACCTTGAGACCTAAGGCTCTTTTTCTCCCCTTCCTCCCTAGGTCATGCACTGGCAGGCTTAGAATTCTGCCAATGTCCATAGGCCCTTCCCCTGTCTCACCCAGAAATCTCCCCGGAAGGGGCTGTTTCTTCTTTTTTTTTTTTTGCTTTTAGGCAATTGGGGTTAAGTGACTTGCCCAGGGTCACACAGCTAGTAAATGTCAAGTGTTTGGTCTGAGGCCAGATTTGAACTCAGGTCATTCTGACTTCAGGGCCGGTGCTCTATTCACTGCGCCACCTAGCTGCCCCAAGGGGCTGTTTCTTCTGGACATCATCGGTGCTCAGTGACACCCAGAATCTCCCAGGTAGAAGGAGAGCCCTCCTCAAGGCCATCTGGTTCAGCCTGCCCTGAACAAGAATCCCCTTTGTCCTGATTTCTGCACTGGGGCCCAGCTGAAATCCCTCTTCCAAACAATAGACCTTCCAGAGCTTGAAGCTTTCAACCTTGACCCCTCTCTACTCCCCCCTTCCCCCGCTACACACAGAAACAGATACACACACACACACACCACACACACACACACACACACACACACACACACGTGACTAGGACAATGATGCACTTTCAGCACTTGTCAAAAAAGTTGGCAGAAAAGCTTCAAGTAGCTCCTTTTAACTACAGACTTGAAGTGAGCCCGGGCCTAAGGAATTCCTCCTCAGTAGTGCCCTGCTGCCTGAGGCTTATGAATAACCTTTAGAAACCTTTCTCTAGAAGGACATCACCCCCCCCCCCCCCCCCCCCCCCCGTCTGGACCAGCCTTAGCTTCATCCCTCTCTCTAGTGTTCTAGGTCTTTGGCTTACGCCCTCATCCAGGGATGAGGGAGCTCCTCAGTTTCCTTCTAGGCCTCTAGGCCAGGGTGGCTGGCTCCTGGAGCCTGGTTGGTCCACTCTGGTGGCCAGATATTCATTTGCTCCAGAGCCCAGGTCAGGGAGCTTGTGAGGCTCCCAGGACATCTCAGCTTTACAAGAAGCTTCTCTGGGGTTTGAGGCTTTTCCTCTTTCTTTTCAAGTGGCTTATACGCACTAGAGTACAGGTACCCACTTTTTTTTTTCTGGGCATTTGGGGTTAGGCAACTTGCCCAGGGTCACACAGCTAGTAGGCGTCAAGTGTCTGAGGCTGCATTTGAACTCAGCTCCTGACTCCAGGGCGGTGCTTCATCCACTGTGCTGATGTGCTCCGCATATCCGAGTACGTGCGCAGAAGCGATGGTCCCTTTTTGAAGGAGGCCCTATATCCGGCCACTTACCTAGAGCCGGGTGTGGCTCTTGCTGCAGCAGCCAACCTCGGTGCCTTGGCCCACCGGTCTTATCTGCTTTGTCTCTTTGCTCACAGACTCACCCCACGCAGACGGCCTTCCTCTCCAGCGTGGACCTGCACACACACTGCTCGTATCAGATGATGCTGCCAGAGTCGATTGCCATCGTCTGCTCCCCCAAGTTTCAGGAGTGAGTAGAGGAGATTGGGCTCCGGGCTCTGAAGGGGCCCCTGGCCCTCTGGTCTGCCCATAGGTTCCATCCTGTGGTGTGTCTCTTGGCTCTGCCTGTGAATATTTGGGTACCATAACGGAGCCCCTTTGGGGAGGCTTTCCATAAGCAGCAGTTTGGAGGCTCAGCCAAAGGAAAGCCAGAAAAGGGGCTGGAGATAGGACTGGGAGAGAACCAGCCCCCTCCCCCAAGCATCCGGTACACCCATCGTCCTTTCTTCCCACAGGATTTGTCCTTGGCTTGGCTTCTCTAAGCAGGGTCAGCTTAGGTGGGGGCAGGAGGGGCCCCGTGGCTCTGGCTTTGCCCCTCTTTGCCAGGAGCAAGCCAAGGGGGTACAGAGTGGCACCAGAGCCGGTGAGCAAGGAGAAGGTGGGGTGTGTCCAGGCAGTTGGAGTTCACCCAGGACCCCCTTGTCTCATTTCAGAACAGGATTCTTTAGGCTGACAGACCATGGATTGGAGGAGATTTCTTCCTGTCGCCAAAAAGGATTTCATCCACACTGCAAGGATCCCCCTCTGTTCTGTGTGAGTGGCAGTGCTGAGCAGAGCGGGGCTGGGACTTAGCAAGGAGTGAGAGGACAGGCTCAAGAGCTACCTCTGCAGCCCCCTTCCCCCAGCCAGTAGAAGCGGTTCTGGGCCGATGCCTGAATCACCGAGGTCTGGGGGGACGACCCTCAGCCAGTAGACTGGCTCAGGGGCCAGGCTAGTTTGAGCTGGTTGGGATTTCCCAGCTTGACAGGTAGGATGGCTTCAGTGGCCTTCCTGAGAAGGCTTCCCTGCCACGTGAGCATGCAGCTATTCTAAAACCAGCAAGGCCCAAGGAGCTCCCTGAGAAGGGCTGGGAAAGCTGTTTTCAGCTCTCCTTCCTCCTCCAGAGCCTGGCTGTCTGGGAGCCCGGGGAAGCTCAGGGCCAAGAGCAGCCTCTAGTTCTGTGGTGCCTGGGCCTGAGCTCAGTCTGTGTGCCCACAACAGAGGCCTGGGCCTGCTGCTGTTAGAGAAAAGGGGCTTTCCAGTGTTCTCAGGCTCGTGCTTTCTTCCTTTGTAGACCTGCAGTCATGTGACCGTTGTGGACCGAGCAGTCGTCATCACTGACCTTCGATGAGATGTCGACCTTCACACCTTCCAGTTACTGTAAAAGAGCTCTCCGCACACTGTAGCCCCTTCTCTTTGTCCTCCAGAAATGCTCGGGAGCTTCAGGGGAGGTTTGCCTTTAGGTTTCGGGGACTTCTAACTGCAAAAAGGAATCTGACGTCAGCCGAGGGAGAGCTGGCTGTTCTGTACTTTGAGCTGAAAAAGAAATGCCAGAACACAGTGCAAGGGGGGGGTTGGAGTCTGTTTTTCACTGACAGTACTAATCTAACTTCTCTAACTTAGCTCCCTGCTTCTCTCTTTCATTGTCACTGGTTGATTTGTTTCCAGTTGAACAGACTGAGGGCATGTGTACGAGCAGAACTGTGCTGACCCATTTAAGGGTCTTTTCTACCCTCCTGCGATTTTGAAAGGGTTAAACACATGGACACTTTAAAAATATGATACCGTGTCCCATGGCAGGGAGTCACTTCCTTTGGGGAGATTGCTTCCCTGCCGAGATTGGCCTTGACTCAGGGCTAGGACGGAGCAAGGGGAGGGCAGAGAAATCTGACCAGGTGGATCAAGGGAAAACAGGATAGCTCACAAAACACTTTTGTGTGGCTGGCCAGAGATATTTTTGTTGTTTAACAAATGGTTCCAGAGAAGTTTTTTTTTCCCCCTAAAATAAAATGATTAAATAAACTCAACCATTACCCTCCACTCTGGAGTAACCAGCTAGAGCAGGAGTGTGTTTACACACTGTTAGGAAGAAAGACTTGGGCCCGGGGCTGGGAGAGAACTGGGGCATTTGTCCTCTGTCACTTCCCCCACTGTCATGCCCTTTCTTCTGTTTTCTCCTGAGCCAGAAGGTGTGTTCTAGGATGGAAGAGAGGTGCCCTTTCCCTGAGATGTGGAGCCTTTATTGTGCCTCAAGGAATCCTTCTGTTTGTTGATTTCATATGCCCAGTCAGCAAGATTTAACCTTTTGTCGAGAAGCACCATCTTGTACCATCTCATGCCCCAGCCGTCTCTTTGGTCACGTTTCCTTGGCTTTTTTTCTCTTGACCTTTATTGTATCCCAAGTAAGGGGTAGTTTAGAGCTGCTGTTGGTTTTTTTGTCCTTTTTCTTAAAGAAAAAAAAAGTTTTCTGGATGCCTTCTGTTTTTACATTGCAGTTATTTCTGGGAGTACTGCTCCCCCAACTCTACTTCTTGGGAATTGAGCCTTCCCTTGTAGCAAAGAACAAGCTCATGAAAAGCACCCGTGCTGTGGCTCAGCTGATGACATCTCCAGCCTTCGGCCCTGGCCATTGTCCACCTCCCTGCTAAGAGGAGGGCTCCAGGACTGTTGCTGGGCTCTGGTCTTGTCTGCTTTGGCTGGGGTTGTCTTCACAGTCTGCCTTCCTTTTACCAATGGTTTCATTTACACTGGTGTTAGTCATTGCATGCACTCTTATTTTGGTTCTCTTTCTTCCACTGTGCATCATTTCATAAAAAGCTTCGGTTTTCTCTGAAATTCTCGTACTTGTCACTTCTAGTCCCATAGTATTCCATGACATTGATATACCAGTTTGTTCAGCCACCCCTCGCTGTTCGTGGGCACCCCCTTTGCTTACACTTCTTTGCTACTACAAAAAGCATTGCTCATAATATTCTAGCTTCCAGGGGTGGGGAACCTGCAGCCTCACGGCCACACGTGGCCCTCTAGATCCTCAAATGTGGCCCTTTGACTGAATCCAAGCTTCACAGAACAAATGCCCTTAATAAACAGATTTGTTTTCTAGACTACAGAGAGATTTCCTCTTCCTCTTTGACTTCCTTAGGGTGTCCGTGCCCAGTTCTGGGCTCGCCGTGTTGAAGAGGCTGAGCAGTACCGTCGGGGGTTTTGGCACAGCTCGGCGTGCTTGTCCAGGATCGCTGGGCCAGTTCACACCTGCAGCCCCTTCAGCATTGGCTGTTGCCATTTCTACCATTTTTGCCAGTGTTCATTGCGAGCCCACAATTGTGTGTTGTCTAAACTGTCACAACAGCCTCCTGACCAGACTTCCCTGCTCACGTACTGTTAGCAGTTCCATATTGACCAGGAAATTCGCTCTCAGCACCTTGCCCTGGCCCCGCTTCAAGGCCTCCCTGGTGAGGCCACAGCCTGCACTTCCAGCCTTATCCCCTCTGATTGAGCACATACGCTGCAGACCCTGTGCCTCAGCCAAACTCCGGGTCATGTCCCAGATACACCCCGGTTTTTCCCTCCCTTTTTCCCTCCCCTTGCTTCTGCTAGACTCTGCCCCATGATATTCTTTGTTGTATTAGACCCAACCTTGAAGGTCTAGCAAAGTCAGCTCCTTCCCTGAAGAGGCCCCTCCTGACATAGGCCCTCCAAGTGGGACCTTGTACTTTGTACCACTCAGGACAATGATCATTTTCTGACTGTCCTCCGGTCCTGTGCTTATTTTATTCCCTAACGCCAGGGAATCTACCTTGGGATCCCTCCCCGGCCAGTACTGTTCCTGCTTCATGGAGAGAGGTTTGTTGAATGAATTGATGAATGACCATGGGGGTAAGAAGGCAGCTGGGGAGGATTCCTCCCTCTCTTCCCCCTCTTCCTCCTCCTCCTCCTCCTCCAGTGAGTCAGTCCCTTATGGTTAGGGAGCGTTCCATATAGGAGATGCCCCGTTTTTCCAAGGAACAATCCTAACTCTGCCTACTTCCTATTATTCTCCAACCATATTCATTCAGTGTCCCATTCCATGCCCATTATATCCCCTGCACTGTGCTAGGTATTGGAGATTGAGGGAGAAACGGCCTGTTCACACAATTGGGGTAATCAGGGAAGGCCTCAAGGAGGAGATGGCCCTTGAAGCTGAGTTCTAAAGGGAGCTAGGGCTTCCAGAAGCAGAAGCAAGGCCAAAGAGCGTTTTGGGCATGGGGGAGAGCCAGTGCAAACTCATAGAATGTATAGAGAGAGCAGCAAGCAGGCTAGTTGTATGGATCCCACAAGCAATAGGGGTCACTGGAGTTTTCTGAGCAGGGAAGGAGCAGAGCCAGACCTGTGCTTTAGGGATGTCCCTGGGCAGCTAGTCAGTGGAGGGAGGCCAAGCACTAGGACCTGAATCAGGGGCCATTACAAGAGTCCAGGCAAGATGTGATGAGCATCTGTTCTATGGTGGGTGTCAGTGAAGGGGAAGGGGCCTCTGGGAGTACTGTCAGGAAGGACTGGGCACCTGGCTGCATGAAAGTGAGAGGCATGACACTGAGGTAGTGAATGTGAGGGACTGGACCGGAGAGTCAGAGAAGGTTCTGGGTGGGGGGAGAGATCCTGAACTGTTTTGGACATGAGCCTGGTGGTTTGGAGATTTGGCCTGGAGCTCAGGGGAGAAAGGGCAGGAGAATGGCTTGTATTCATGAAAGGGTTGAATTGCTGGGAGCTGATGACATAACCCAGAGAGAAAGGAAGCAGGCCCAGGACAGAGCCCGGGGGTAAATCCGTGCATGGAGGGTAGGCGAGGATCTGGAAAACGAGCAGTCAGAGAGGGAGGAAGATGGCTCCCCCAGAGCAGTATCATGAGAACTCAGGAAGGAAGAAGTGTGCTGGAGGACTCTGTCTGGCATCAGGAACAGCAAGGTCTGAGGAAACCAGTGGATTTAGTGAGAGACAGTGGGGACAGCAGCGAAGCCTTGGCCGAGTTCAGGGAGGCAGCAGGTGGGGAAGCAGAGGTACCCTGTTCTAGAAGGGTCAAAGGAGGGTGTTTTTTTTTAGGCAATTGGGGTTAAGCGACTTGCCTGGGGTCACACAGCTAGTAAGTGTCAAAGTGTTTGGTCTGAGGCCAGATTTTTTGTTTGTTTGTTTATTTGTTTTTGGGTTTTTTTTTTTTTTTTTGGTTAGGCAGTTGGGGTTAAGTGACTTGCCCAGGGCCACACAGCTAGTAAGTGTCAAGTCTTTGGTCTGAGGCCAGATTGAGGCCGGATTTGAACTGACTTCAGGGCCGGTGCTGTATCCACTGCGCCACCTAGCTGCCCCGAGGGTGTTTCTTAAGGATGGGGTTGTCAGAGCCAGACCGTGCCGGAAATTAGAGGCGAAAGGGTGATGGAAGAGGCTCACTCCCTGCGGGCCTGCCTGGAGGCCCGCCTAGATCCTGGCTCACCTGGGCTTTGCAAGTGGGCCCCAACTTAGCCTGTTCCTCCCAATGGCAAATTATCCGCTTCCACACCTCCTGAAACCCTCCCAGCTTTCCTGACTGTGGCAAGAGCCAGCCTTTCTGAAAGCAGAAAGGTTGGACGCCTGGAGATGGTCTCGCCCTTCCTCCTTTATCCCTCCCCCACCTACCAGATACCACAGTTATTCTCTTCTGGCATCTCTGCCTGGAGGCAGCTTGCTCCTGAGTCTGGCTCTGGATTCCATCCCCCAGTGCTGAGGGAAGCCTGTCTCCTGCCCCGTGCCATTGGCCAGACCCCGGCAACGTTGCCTTATTAGGCTGCTGAAACCTTTTGTACTGAACGGCACTGTTAGGGGTCTCTCTCGTTAGACTTCAAGACTGTTCCCATCCAGATACTGGGTGTTTTGATCAAGCCATGGCTGCCCCACAGTACTTCCCCATAAGCTGATGCAGCATATTTTGGGACAGGCAGGGAAGGCGAAGAGAGGAGGCTTCCCAAAACCCAGAGAGGAGAAACCTCCAGGGCCAAAAACTAAGGGGTCAGAAGGAGAAGGTCTGGGAAAAAAGCCAATTCATTTAGTGAGAAGTCACTGGTAACCTTGGAAGATGCAGTTTCTGTCAGGTGAAGAAGAAAAGCATCTGAATGGTTGAGGAGAAAAGGAAAGGAGAGGAGTATGAGGGGCCTGGGGCAGCAAGGAATAGAAGGGTAGTTGTGAGCAATCTTCCGGAGGGTTGTATAGGGAGGAACACCAAGAACCACTGGTCTACAATGTTGCAATGGTCTTCGCCCCACCAGCTGCAGCTCCCTCATATCGCTGTTCAGCAGAGGGCAGGCTATGAGCTGCAGAACAGATGAGGCCTGTCACGAGGCTGGGCTCAACAGGAATCCTACCCATTATAACTGCCTTAACGTAAGGTTCCCACTTGGAGGCCAGCAGACAGCGTTAGATCGTGGAGTCCTGGACATGGCAGAGCTCACACACAGCCTCCAATTGGTCTGGGCCTGAGCAAAACCCCCCTCTATGACCTTCTCGACAAGGGATCGTCCAGCTTTCAGGACAGGGAGCTCACTACTCCCCCTTGGCTGCACATTCCACTGTGAGTCATTTCAAATTGTTAGGAAGTTCGAAGGGGTTGAAATCTGATTCCTTCTAACTTCTAGCCCTTAGTTGGTCCTAGATATATCCTCTGGGGAAAGACAGCACATCCCATCCTCTCCCAAAAGGTAGCCCTTCAGATATTTGAAGTGAGCAATCGCGTCTTCCCTAAGACTTCCCTTTTCCAGGGTAAATATCTCCTGTTCCTTCCACCAGTCCACATATGGTGTGGCTTTGAGAGTCCCCCTCACCAGCCTCATTAAGGGAGCCTATTAAGGGAGCAGAATCCTGAAATGCCTAAGGGAAGGAATCCCTACCCTTGGCATCCTGAGGCTGGCTTCCAGTAGGTGTGAGTTTCTAATATTTGGTCAGAAATCTGGGTAGGAATTGTCTATGTCAAGTATTTAAAACAACCCCCTGTGTCTCTCCCCCTTCCCCTTCCTTATAAGAAAAAAAAGAAAGCTACTTCCTTCTCTCACTCATTCTGCAGTAAGGGGACAACCTCCTCCTCAGGCCCTAAGGGATTAGCAGCTGAGCTTTTCATTCTCTCCGAGAATGTTGTGATCATCATTCCTTCCCATCCCATCCTCCCGGCCGCCTTCCTCCTGAGAGGCAAACCTAGGGGTCCCCAGAGCAGGGTCTGAGTCTTCAAGCCAAGGACACTTCCTGACCATTGGCGCTTACCCCGCTGCAATAGGCTGCTTCTGGAGTGTGTGCTTCCCCCTCAGCAGAGGTGAGGGAGCAAAGGCTGAGTGGCTGCTCCTCGGGGATTCTCTTTCTGGTATTGGCTGAACTAGACAGATGGCCTCTGAGATCCCAGCCCGTTCATTTGCTAGCCACCTAACTTGGGTAAGATGCTTTTCAAGGCTTCCTTCCCTCGTCTCTAAAGGGCAGTAATGAGCTCGGTCCTGCCCACCTCCAAGGCTGTCTTGAGGACCAATGTGTCTAATTCAAGAGCTCTAAGATCTCATAGTGTGAGTGAGTGCAGAGCAGATGCCCCTGTGTGTGTGGCATTCTTGCCCATGCCTCTGTGTTATTTTTATTATTTTTTTCAATCTATTATCTTTTTCTCCCACACTGGGGAAAAAGAAAAAAAATGCAAAAGACTCGTGGCAAATAGGCATGTAACAATCACTGCATTGGCCGTGTGCAAACCTGGGCCTCCGAAGGGGACTGCCCCAGTGCACCAGAGACTGTCCCCTGGCTCTTTTAAGGTCTCCAAGATTTCATAAAGCCAATGGGAGAACTTGGTAGCACTGCTTTGAAAACATTGAGGCTAAACGCAAAGGTGAGGTGGCATCATCGCTGGCCTCTGAAGGGAACATGAGACACTGCCCTTCACCGGAAGTGCCCTTCTCCTGCCTCCCCAAATCCCTCCCTCCCCTCAGGACCCGGTTCAAGGGGCTCTTCCATTAATCCTTTTCCAGGGGCTCCAGCCAACACTGGCCTCCTCCCTGCTTCCCACCTCCCAGGCTAGGATCCTAGATTTTGTGTCTAATTAGTCTTGACTCTCAATTAGAGGTTAAGCTTCAGGGGGGTAAAGCCAGTTTCCCTCATATCCCTGGTGTTATACAAAGCCAGTCAAAGCCAGTACCTGGCCTCAAGGAAGTCTGTCCTGATCTGGACAAGGCAAGGGCCAACACTAAGGGGAAGTGGATTTCTTTTCTGCCCTGGGCAGCTGGCCCTAGTTCACTTCCTTTTTTACTTTATGCTGGGTTCAAAGAGTTGGCAGCCACTAGGATAAAGTCAGCATGAATATTCTAATTGCAAGGACCTTCAAGACTGGTCGGTCCAACCTCTGGATCCATACCAGAATGTCTTCTACAGCCTCTGCAGTAATAGATCACTTGGGTGAAGGGAAATTCAAGATTCAGTCTGGGCCCTTGCTTTCATTCCTTTGAGCCCACATCTGCTCCCTTGTAACTCCTGCCTTTGGGTCCTAGTGCCCCCTGGGGCCAAACAGTTCATCAGATCCTCTCCTCCTTCCAATGCCTGTAAGTCTTCTGTTTTCCAGGCCAGGTAACCTGAGGTCCTTCAGCTGATGCTCACAGGGCAAATGAATCCCTTTGTCTCCACCATCCTTGCACTCACGTGCCCATGCACCCACCCTACTCTGCTGAACGGAAGCTTGTTTCTGGCTTGTCAAAATCCTTTTTGAAATGTGTGGCCCCAAATCAGAGCCGGTACTCCAGATGCCCTCTGGCCAGCAAACAGTGGAATGGGTCAACCTTGTTACTGCAAACAGTGAGCGTTGTCGTTTATGCTGTTTTCCAAGACACTTTATACTGCCTCTTTTGAGCCTCACAATGATAAAGGAATGGACCAGAAGCCAGGAAGGCTTGGCTTTGAATCCTGCTGTAGACCCTCCTGGGCACGTTACTTCATCCATCTGACTCTCAGGTTTTGTCTCTGTAAGACAGGATAAGGAGAGCTCACGTTTATAGAGTGCTAGGTTGAAGCCAAATCCTGGCTTCAGATCCCAACTCTGCCACTTACTACCCGCGTGACTTGGGGCATTCACTTTACTTCTCATCTGTAAAATGGGTGTGTTGGAGCAGATGGCCTTTGAGGTCCCTGCTAGCTCTGAATCTCTGATCCTATAATCCTATGAGCCTGTATGGTGCTTTCAGGTTCACAAAGCACCTTGCACATGTCTCCTCCTTGGGTCCTCACAACCACCCTGCGTGCTGACATTAGTCCTGTTTTATGGTTAGGGGGCTTTCACAGTTGAAGAACCTTGCCCAGGCTCGGATTCACACAGCTAGTTGTGGAGTGTAGCACTGTGGATAGAGCACTAGGCTGGAGTCAGGAAGGCCTGAGTTCAAATCCCACCTTAGACACTTAGGAGCTGTTTGGTCCTGGACAAGTCACTTAACCGCTTGCCTCATTTCATCATCAATGAAATGGGGACAATAGCAGCACCTACCTCAAAGAGTGCATGTGAAGGCCAAGTGGAATGTGCAAAGTCTTCTGCAAACCTAAAAGTACTTGGTAAAAACAGAATATCATAAACTTGTCAGCTGGGTGGGACCTGAATCCAACCCCCTCCTGTTACAGGTGAGAAAACTGGAGCCGAGAGTTTAGGTGATTTGGCTAGAGTGTCTGGGGCAGGATCTGAACTCAGGGCTTCCTGTGCACTAGGGACCACACCATCTAGTGGCCCAGTTCACGTTTAAACCCATGTTTCTCTGTCTTCCCAAGTCAGCACGGCTTCAATCACAGACTCTACCTCCCTTGTTCAGAGCACTGTACTTCTCTTATATCTCTTCATGCCTACGATGGTCTTATTTGGGGGCAGGGGGGTGGAAGAGAGAGGGAAGCATGACACAATTAGCCGGGACAGCTCAGCAGCCCCTTTAAATGAGCACCCTCCTGGGGCAGGCTCACGGTGCTGACACAGTTCCCGGGGATTTGGTTTCCCTGGTCCAAACATCTTAGATTTCCTTCCTCTCCCAGCCACTTGCCTCTCCTGACTCTGAGGACCCTAGCCAGTGGGGGCACTCTGCAGAAGTGGCCCATCCTCCAGCCTCAGTCCCAAGGAAATAACAGTAAGCCAGTCCAGTTCTGGCTGTGCCCTTGGGTTGGGGATAGTCCAGCCAGCCCTGAGACAGTGCCCTAGAAGTGGCCTTCCCAAGGTAAGGCTCAGGCCTGACCTAGACCCGAAAACGGTTGGCCCAGTGTGTATGAGTCCATGCATCAGCTGACCTGTCTGACATCTCTGTGGGAGGAAGGGGAGAAGAGGAAGGGACTGTAGGGTTTTTTTCTTTTTAACTCTTTTTACCTTTGTGTGTGTGTGTGTGTGTGTGTGTGTGTGTGTGTGTGTGTGTGTATGTGTGTGTGTGTGGCAATTGGAGTTAAGTGACTTGCCCAGAGTCACATAGTTAGTGAGTATTATGTGTCTGAGGTCAGATCTGAACTCAGGTCCTCCTGACTCCGGGGCTAGTGCTTTATCCACTGCACCACCTAGCTGCCCCTACTCCTTTTACTGCTTGAAGATTGAGGTTGTTCTAAGGGATGGTTCCCTGGGAGGAGGAGGAGGAGGAGGAGGAGGAGGAAAACAGATAGATTAGAAAATGTAGGTCAGGAAAAAACGAAAGATATCCATAAAAATATTTTTAAAAAAGGAAAAAATAGAGGAAGATAGGTGTACATGAGAGGGAAAGAGACAGACATAGACACAAAAACAGAAACAGAAGAGAGGAGAGACACAGAGAGAGGGACAGAGTGAAGAGAGGGGGAGAAGGGAGGGAAGGAGTAGAGAGATTGATAGATGATAGAGAAGCAAGTGTGTAAGTGCTTACTATGTATACCAAGCACTCCACTAGGTGCTAGGGATGTAAGTACAAGCACAAACCGGCCCTAGCCTTCAAAGCTCTTCCATTCTAACAGGAGACAGAATATAAAGGGTGTTGGAAAGTCATGGACAGGGCTAGGAGAGCCCCAAGACCGTCAAGAAGTAATGTGAAGCCCTAGGCACCAGCAAGAGAAGGCCAAAGCTCACCTCTGAGAGACAAGAGATGGGATCGAAGGTTCATTCCTGTGGGAGAAGGAGGAAGAAGATGGGCTGAGAGCAGAAGGCCTGGTGTGGAGAGGATGATGGATCAGCATTCTACTCCCGGCAAGCCAAGATACTGAAATGAGAAAGTAGTCCAAGGGCAGGACGGTGGGTGGGCTGGGAGGGCAAAGAGGGACAGGAAGAAGCTAGTTCTGTTTGTCTGGGTCAGTGGCATGTGAAGAGGAGAGCGAGGGGGAGGTGAGGCTGGAAAGAGAGCTTGGAGCCTGATGCTGGAAGGTCGTGGGTGCCATGCGACAGGGTCTGCGCTTTCAAAAAGGAAGCTGAGCGTTCTCAGTACAGCAGTGATGGGATCAGACGTGGCCGGGCTCACGAGCAGAGGCGAAGGAGAGGTTGGGGGATCATCCATCTTTGACTCCTCCTTCACCCCCATCCCCAAAGCCAGTCAGTCACCATGGCCCAAGAACTTGCTGTTGCTTTTGGTGCAATGAGCAAGTCCGGCTCAGCTCCTTGTTCTTAACATGGCCATTCGGGTCGTCTTCCTAAGGTACGCTCTGCCTGTCTCACCCCTGCTCAAGATCTGTTAGTGGTTCACCAGGGACAAGCTCCTTGCCCTGGCATTGAAGGCCCTCCACAAATCTGCCCTTCATGGCTCTCAAGTTGTCCATCACTCTCTTTTACATGCTTTCCTTTCCAACTGAACTGGACCACTTGCCATTCCCCATTCGCTTCCAGCCCTTTCCTGTTTCCAGGCCTTCACTCGTGCTGTTTCTCCTGCTCGATGGTTAGACAATCCATAGGCACTGACTATGGGCAAGGGCAGGCAACAGACTTCTCTGTTCAGATCTTGTGCTTCCTCTAAGGCCCAGGGGAGCTGCTGCCCCTTCCTCCAGAAAGTCTCCCCAGTGCCTCAGGCCAGCTGGGAACCCTCCTTCACAATTCTCCAGACCACCTAAGCCCTCTCCTTTGCACTCGATTCCGATCTGTAGGGCTGATCTTGGTATCACCCCTGTTCAATTGTAAGCTCCTAGAGAGCAGGACTGGTATTTCATCTTTGTTTTCACTAGCTGTGGGCAGGAGGCCTTACATAGAGATGCAATCTAATGCATTTTTATTGAACTGAATTGAACAGTCTCTATGCCTATTCCCCAAGGAAAGAGCTTGTCCTAACCACTCCAACTTCCCCTTCCACCGATCATATTCACTTCTGCCATGAGATGGAGAAGTGGGAGTGGGTGGGTGGGAGGACGCTTTGGCAGAGATATTCTTAGACATCAACCTTAAATTTGTAGGGAGGGATCCCAAATGCCACTAGTTCTCCTTCAATGAATAAGGCTGGTACCAGAGAAAGTAAGCAGTTACACCCTCCTACACCAAGGTCCTAAACTGGGTGGGCCCTTGGAATGACTCAATCTCATTCTGTTTTATAAATTTCTATGGACTTTTTGTTTTTACATCACTGTCCTGTCCAAACAGATTCCTCCCCGCTCCCCTGCTCAGAGAACCTTCCCTCCTAACAAGGAATAAAAGAGAAAAAAAGGCTTTTTGACAAAACTAACCAATGCGTCAGTCAGACAGAGGGGCCATGGTCCCCAGCCTCTCAAAGAAGAGAGAGAGGTTTTTTCAAGCATTCTTTGGGCCACAGTCAGTCATTAGAATAATAGCATTCAGGTTGGTTTGGGGGTTTTGTCTTTTCGGGTTCTGCTTGTCTCATCAGGTCACCTGATTGTCTTCCTAGATTTCTCTTTATCCTGCACAGTCATTATCTCTTTATATGGCACTTTATAGAGATATCTACTTTGTTCCCCACACAGACCCAGTGAGGTGGTCAGTCAGTCAGTCAGTCAATAAACATTTCTTAAGCTCCTACTATGGCTGGTCACTGTACTAAGTATTTGAGATACACAAAAAGGCCAGACAGTCCCTGCCCTTGAGGAGCTTACAGCTGAAGGCAGGTGATATAATTATTCCCATTCTAAAAATGGGGAAATTGAGGCTCGAAGAGGCCTAGTGACTTAGCCAAGGTTCATGCAGTTACTAAGCGTCTGAAGATTTAAATTTGTCTTCCTGATGCCAGTCCAGTATTCTATCCACTCTGCCCCCTGGGTGCCATAATAATGATTATTCTGTTATCAGAATTCATGTACCAAAATTCACTTGCCCATTCCTTAACCGATGGGCATCTACTTTGTTTCCCATTCTTTACCTGAGGCAGCTTGCTGGCAGAATGGAGGCCTGGAGTCAGGAAAACCTGAGTTCAAATCCAGCCTCACTAGCTATGTGTCTTTCTCTCTCAGTTTCCTCATCAGTAAAATGGGGATAATAACGGCACCTACCTCTCAGGTTGTTTTAAGATAATATCTGAAAAGCACCTGGCACTATTAAATGCTTTATAAATGTTTATTAATTGTTATTGTTATTATTATTACTACTACCTCAAAATGTGCTACTATAAATAGTTTGGCGTATATGGAGCCTTTTTTTCTATCTTTGACCTCCTTGGAGTGTATTTTTAGCAGTAGGACCTCTGGATCAAAAGGTTTGGATATTTGTGTGACCCTCTTAACATAATTCCAAATTGCTTTCCAGTATGGTTGGAGTAATTCCCAGCTCCATCAACAGTGTAGTGACATGCCTGTCTTTGCCCAGCCCCTCCAACATTGACTACCCCCACTCTTAGACATCTCCACCAATTTGTACCCAGTGTGACTCAGATGCTGTAGAATGACCCCATACAAGTGATGACAGCACCCATTTCTGTAGCCCTTTACAAAAAACTGATAACTGAGGAGAGAGATCGAGCACCTACTGTGTGCTGAGGGCTAGATGAGAGAGACAAAAAGGAGTTTATATTCTCAGGAAAAACAACATGAGGGGTAATTAAATATAAAATACTTCCAAAGTAAATACAAGGTGAGAGGGAAGGAGGGGAGGTATGAGGGGAAAAGCCTTGGGGGCTGGGAGTGGGTAGAAGGAAAAGCCCCACCTGCAAGGTGCTCAAGCAGAGCTGTGAAGGAAGACCAGGATTCTCTGAGATGGGCATGAGGAGGGAAGGTGTCCAGGGAATCGAGGACAATGAATGGAAGAACTCCCTCATGCCTCTGCTTGGGCTGGCCAGAAGAAAGAACCTTGCCTAGCTGTTAGGAGTCCTTTTCCCTGCTAATGAAGAGAAGGAGGGGGAAGAATAATTATAACTCATCCCTTTAGAGCTTGGGGGTTTACAAAGTACTTCCCTCAAAACCACATAGTGAAGTAGCTGGTGCTAATCATGATCCCCACTTTATAGATGAAGAAACTGAGGCTCGGAGTGGTAAAGTGACTTTTCTGAGGTCACACTGCTAGTGAGCAGCAGAACTAGAAAGGAAAGGAGAACTAATAGAGCCAGGAGACAGCAGCAGCTGCCAAGAAGAGCAGGTCTCCACAGAAGCCAGACCTTGCTGCACTGTGATGCCAGAAAGGAATTGGGGGAAAGGGAAAAGCAGGAATCGGTAGAGAATTATGCCCAAAGGGGAAGCTAGGGACTTCCAAGCCAAGCTCTGAGATGAGCAGCTGGGACCCAGAGGTGGCCAGAGGCACAGGGGAAGTGGAGTCCAAGCTTGGTCCCAGCTTCGCCACTGCCCACCTGAGTGATCTGAGCCAGTCTCTGGGCCTTAAATTCTTCATCTGCAAAATGAGATGAAACTACATCACTTCTATAGTCCTTTCCAGTCCCTAAATCTGTGAGTCTGAGACTTTGAACTTAAGACAGAAGAATGGAATGGGACAGATTGGAATATGCGTGGCTTTGTGGACGTGTCCCAAATTCCTTGTTTGAACAAGACAGGGAAAGGGGGAAGGGAATACGCACTTGTACAGCACTGACTATGTGCCAAGCACTGTACTGAAATGACCTCATCTGACCTTCAAAACAATCCCGGGAGGTAGGTGCTACTATTATTCCCATTTTACAGTTGGAAAAACTGAGGCAAACAAAGGTTTAAGGGGCTTCCTCAGGGTCACACAAGTAGTAAGTGTCTGAAGATGGATTTTTTTCCTTTTTAAAATAAATTCATTATTTACTTTTAACAATTGTTTCTTTTTCAATTTTGATTTCTAGATTCTCTCCCTCCCTTCCCCTCACCCCCATGGAGAAAAGTGAACACTATGATATCAATTATACACGTATATTAATGTATATTAATCATATATATTTCTGTATTTCCCAAAGGAGCAAGAAGAATAAAGTGAGGAAATTATAGTCCCATTTGCACTCACAGTTGGTCAGTTCTCGGGCTGGGTGGATGGCATTTTTTCATCATGGGCCCTTTGGACTGTCTTGGATCAATGAATTCATCAGAGAAGTCAAATCTTCCAAGAGTTGATCATCATTTCAAACTTGCTGCAAAATGTGCACAATGATCTCCTGGTATTCTCAATTCCCTTTGCATCACTTCGTATAGGTCTTGCCGGGTTTTTCTGAAACCACCCTCTCGTCATTTCTTATAGCACGATAATACTAATACTCCCTCACAATCATGTCACATCTTGTTCAGCCATTCCCCAATGGATGGGCATCCCCTCTTTGCCACCACAAAAAGAGCTGCTATAAATGTTGTACATATGGGTCCTTTTTCTTTTTCTTTTATCTCTTCTGACCTCTATTCTTTGACCTAGAAGTGGTAGTGCTGGTTCAAAGGGTATGCACAATTTTATGGCCCTTTGGGCATAGTTCCAGATTGTTCTCCAGAATGATTGGATCAGTTCACTACTCCACCAACGATTCATTAGTCTACCTATTTTTTCCTCATTCCCTCCAGCATTTGTCATTTCTGATAGGTGTGAGATAGTACTGAGGCTGTATTTTAACTCAGGTCTTCCTGACCCCAGGCCTTTCACTCTGTCCACTACCACCTGCTGGTTTGGGGACTATTCTGATTCATCTAAGATCATAGAATAGGGATGGGGACTGTCCCTAGATTTCAGTAGTATGGAGAACTCCTAGGTGAGGAATCTCCCTCCACTCATGCCAGTTGGCACTCTCTCTCCAGCTTCCAGACAGTTCTCACTTTACATTTTGCAGACCTTTACTTAAAAGGATTTTTACATAATGCAAATTTGCCCAAGGATACAGGGAAGGGCTGGAGAGAGACAAGAAGGGGGCCAGTGCAAGGGATATGCGTTCCAGGACATGTGGAGCCAGGAAATGGAGAAGGGAGAACGGGAGGAAGAACACGTGGGCTGAGTCCAGCCTCATGGCCAGAACTGAGAGGAAGAGGAGGGGGACAGACATGGACAGGAGAAAACCCATAACATGTGCCAGGAACAGATTTAAGGTAGCCAAGCATGGACTGACAGAAGACACATGCAGATTCGGGGGGGGAGGGGCACCAGAGGTCTCAAACCAAGTCCCCAACCCTTGGTGTTGTTTTTGGGGGGTCTTAAGCCAAGCCCCCAACCCCTGGTGGTGTTTTGGGAATCTCAAGCCAAGCCCCCAACTCCTGGTGGGGCTTTGGGGGGTCTCAAGCCAAGCCCCCAAACCCTGGTGGTGTTTTGGGAATCTCAAAGCAAGCCCCCAACCCCTGGTGGTGTTTTGGGTGGGGCACAGAGTACCTAAATGAGGCGAAGAATGGAAAGAGAGCAGTGTTGGACAGGAAAGCTAACGTTGGTGTTGTTTTGGAATGCGGATGTCTTTCAGAATTCTTTATGTAAAGCTGATTTGTGTAGGACCAAGCACTGTCTGTTGTAGTCTTGGAGAGCTGCTGAGGGCCCTGGGACATTGAGAGACTGGCCCAGAGTCCCACAGCCAGGATGTGCCAGAGGCTGAACATAGACCTATCAACACGGCTTCAAGACCAGCTCTGCCCATTAGGCCACATGGCCTCTCACATGTGTTACCATAGACTGTCTAAGCCAAAAAGATCTTATCGATCTCAGCGTACCAGAAAAAGCACTCCCTGGAGCTGGAGCCAAGACTCCTAGGATTCAGTCTCAGCCCCTCCCCTGACTTTCTAGCTGTGTGAGCCTGAGGCCTTTCCCTTCCCTGGGCCTCAGTTTGCTCCCCCATAAAATGGGAATGATCCTGTCTGTACCTCCACCACGCCCTGTAGGGTTACTCTGAATCAGTATGTGTTAAACTGAATTGTGACCATCAGGTGAGCTAAAGTAAACATTAGAATGCTAGTACCATTTTTCAGGGGAAGAAAGTGGGGCCCCTAGAGATTAACTGAGACACCGCCTCAGGATCTAGGTTCTTGGGAGGGGAGTCCAGCTAGGCAGAGCTTTGTAAGTGGAGCCATAGAAAGGAAGGGAAGCAGCTCCGGGGCCCAGAAGAATAGAGTCCTTGTTCTCTGTTCCCTGTGGCTCTGAGCTAGGGATGTCTTCCCCTAGTCCCCTCTCCCCGGCCCTGGCCCTGCTGCCCCCACCCGATGTCCCAGAACTTCATACCTCTGCATCATGTCCTTAAAAAGGCAAGTTCTTCTGCCCAAAGTCACACTGCTTACAAAGCCCACTAATTTGGTTTGTTTTGATAAACACTAATCGTTTGCTATGCCAGGACTCCTGCGGAACCTGTAAAAAATAAAAATTCAATCAGTTCTTGCCCTCAGGGAGCCTCATTCAACTGAAGGGGGAGGGGAAGGATATGCAACATATGCACTGATAAAGGTGCCTCCTAAATCATGCTTTACTGGCAAATAGGGATTATAAGAGGTGGGAGAGGAAATCAGTTCTACACCGGAGGGACCATCTCTGTAAAGGCCGGGAGGTGGGAATGTCACATACTGGGAGCAGTGAGCAGGCCAGTTTGACTGGAATGAAGGGGGTGCATGAATGGGAATAACAGAAAAGAAGATCTGTCCAGTAACTCGCAGCCAGATCGTCAGTCAGTAAATAAGCCTTTATTAGCACCTGGGGGCCATCTCCAGTCGTCCTGATCGATATGTGGCTATTGGACCCAGCTGGCTCAGGAGGAGAAAGTGAGGCTGGTGACTTTGCACAGCCCTGCCTCACTTAGATCCAATTCACTCACATGTCATGGCATCATCTTCCTGATGTCATGGTCCTCTTCAAGAACGAAGGACCAAAAACAACGATTTATCAGCACCTAGTGTGTGCCAGGCACCGTGCTAAGCACTGGGGATACAAGAGAAGGAAAAGACTGTCCCTGCCCTCAAAGAGCTCACAGTTTAATGGGGGAGACACTGGGCAAATAATATATACAAGCTATAGAGAGGACAGATTTGGGGATTCTTGTAGAAGGTGGGATTTTAGTTAAGACTTAAAGGAAGCCAGGAGGCTTTAGAAAAATCATTCTGGTGACTGAATAGAGATGAACTGGATAGGGGGGAGATTGAGGCAGACAGACCCACCAGCAGCTATTGCTGTAATCCATGCCTGAGGCGATGAGAGCCTGCACCGGAGTGGACTGTGTCAGAGGAGAGAAGGGAGTGTATTCAAGAGATGCTGCAGAGGTAAAAATCACAGGCCTTGGCAACAGCTTGGATAGAGGAGGTGAGCTACAGTGAGGAATCCAGAACGACTCCTAGGGTGGGAGCTGGGATCGGAGAATGGCATTGCCCTCTGCAGTAATAGAAAACATGGGAGGGGGAAGGGTTGAGGGGCAAAAATAATGAGTTCAGGTTTAGATGAGTTGAATTTAAAATGTCTACTGGACATCCAGCTTGGGATGTTTGAAAGGCAGTTGGAGATTTGAGACAGGAGGTCAGCAGAGAGGTTGGGATGGATTTGAGATCTGAGAATCATCAGCATATAAATGATCACTGTATCCATGGGAGCTCCTGAGGTCACCAAGTGAAGTGGGATGGAGGAAGAAAGGACTGAGCTGTGGGACTCTCACAATTCATGGGCGTGGCCTGGGAGAAGATCCAGGGAAGAAGATTGTGGAGAGTGTCACCTTCCTCTCCTCGGAGGAGTTTGTGTTTATGGTACAGGTAACAGGGAGCTACAGAAGATTTCTGAGAAGGGAGGGCACTTGCTTAGATCTGTGTTTTAGTTCTGCTCTTAGAGCTGGAAGAGACAGCAGTTGTCACAGCGTGATGTGACGGAAAGAGATCCAGACTCGGGGTCAGAATGATAACAACAATAACTAACATTTACATAGTGCTTACTATGTGCCCGGCACTGTGCTAATGCTTCACAAATGTCATCCCATTTGATCCTCACAACAACCCTGGGAGGTTAGAGCTGTTATCCCCATTTTACAGTGGAGGAAACTGAGGCAGAGGTTAAGTGGCTCGCCCAAGGTCACACAGCTGGAAAGTATCTAAAGCAAGATTTGACCTCAGGTGTTCCTGATTCTGGGCCCAGCTCTGCCTCCACTGAGCCACCAGCTGCCTCAAGCACAGAGTTCCAGTCCTATCTCCTGCATTTTCTAGTAGAGTAACCACTTGTCTCTTCACCAACTTGAGCCTTAGTTTCATGGTATTGCGGGGGAGGGTAACATAACTGACCCACCTATCAGAAGTGTTGTGAGAAAAGCACTTTGTTAACTGGAGAAAGTGCTACAGGAAAGGGGGGGGGAGGTGAAGAGGAAAAAGAGACAGAGACAGAGACAGAAAGAAAGGCACACAGGGAGGGAGAGAAAGAGAGAGAGAGAGAGAGAGAGAGAGAGAGAGAGAGAGAGAGAGAGAGAGAGAGAGAGAGAGAGAGAGAGAGAGAGAGAACCAAGAACTCATCCATGGACAGATCCTTCCTGCTTTAGAGGGAGAGAAAGACTCAGGCTGGAGAACAGACTTACTCAAGATCATATCTTCAACAAGGAGTAAACTTTTCCAGAGCAGGACTGCATTCCCAAAGCAGCCAGGTGAATTCTCTGAATGCCAGACCTGTTACAGAGAGTTTTCCAGGGACTCACGTCATTTCCTCTTGCTCCTTTGCTCCTTCCTTTCTGCCCTTCCCACTGGGAACATTCAGTTTGCCTGAATCCCCAAGCTACCAGAACAATTCTAAATATCCAGATGGGAAATCAGAATGTGTCAGAAAAAGAAGCAGCCCTATTTCTAGGCTAGTCACTTGTCCATTATCCCATTATCACTTAGGACCTAATAATACCTTGATGTACAGAATCTTGGGATTTTGTTCTAGATAGGATCATTCTTCCAAATGAGGAAACTGAGGATCAGATAGATAAGTGACTTGCCTAAGGTCATTCAGATAGATGTTCTAACTCCAAATGCAGTGCCCTTTCTATGCCACCACCACAGCCCTGTCCTGGAGATAACTTTCCCTTCCTGGGTGATAACCTGGGAAACCAGGAGCCCTTTCCTACTAGCATCCCTGACCCTTTTCTATCCCTTCCCAAATTCCATGAAGTCACAGCCAACTCAATGGTACCCGCATTTATTAAGCACCTACTATGTATCAGACACTGCGCTAGGTGATGGGGGAACCGAGACAAAAATGAAACAGCCCTTGCACCCAAGATTGTATCATTTTCCCCATTAGCTTGTAAGCTTCTTGAGGGCAAGGAGCAGCTTTCTTTTTAGTATTTGTATACCCAGTGCTTAGCACAATAGCTAGCACACAGTAGGCTCTTAATAAATGTTCATTGTCTGAGGAGCTTCCATACTGCTGCATGATACCACATATAAGCAGATAAGTACAAAAATAAGATAACTGAGAGGATGGATTACAATGCGAAGAGGCTTGAGGCAAAGAGGCCAAGCAGTGGTCTATCTAAGACAATAATCCAGGGAGAAGGCGATGAGGGCCTACACCAGGGTGATTACAGTGTCAGAGGACAATGTCACGTATTTAAGATGTTGCAGAAGAAGAATCGGCAGGACGAGGCAATGGTTTGGCTGTAGATGGGGAGAATGGGGAGTCAAGGATAGCTCCTGGGTGGGGCACCTGGGTAACTGGGATAATGGTGGTACCTTCAACAGGAATAGGGAAATTGAGAAGGGGAGAGGGTTTGGAAGGAAGATAATTAGTTCAGTTTGGGGAATGTTGAGTTTGAGATATCCACAGAATATCTCATTTCAAATGTCCAATGGTCTGCAGAGATGTATGACTGGAGGTTAGGGCTAGACAAGGAGATCTAAGAGTCAAATGCATAGAGATGAAAATTAAAATCATTAAGCTCATAGTAAAAATAGCATTCAAAAAATAATATCAGTGTGGAAATAAAAGGCAACTAGGCAGTTCAGTGGCTAGAGAGCTGGGCCTGGAGTCAGGAAGACCTGAATTCAAATCCGGCCTCAGAGACTTACTAGCTGTGTGACCCTGGGCAAGTCACTTACCCTCTGTTTGCCTTAATCCACTAGAGAAGGAAATGACAAACCACTCCAGTATCTTTGCTGAGAAAATCACATGGGCAGTATGGCCCGTGGGGTCATGAAGAATTGGACGTTACTGAACAATTGAACAACAATGCAAAGGAAGGATTTTGTGGCAAATAGCAACTTGGGGTCATGGAAAGAGCTGCCCAAGCTCTCCAAAGCAACTGAGCCCAATTTCTTCCCCCTTTCATTGTGGGGCCTACTTCTTGACTCTGCAGTGCTCATTTCAGATATGTACTGATGGAGGAACTCAGTCTGCTGCCCTTCCGAGTTCATGTCATCATCTGAGCAAATGGCATCCATTATCCACTTGGGTTTTCCCATGTAGACACTTTTGTTGAACTCATTTGAGTCCTGTAGATCTGATTAAAGAGGCTCATGGTATTCTGAGACCTAATACAATTGGTAAAACAGTACCTACAAACAGCAGCTTCCAGCAAATCTACCCACCCAAAGGAATCCATCATCCATCAGTACTCTGGACAGGACATAGCATCCTACAATCAAGCAGCTATCTTGGTTGTGCTGTTTCAACCATGTCTGACTCTTCATGACCCAACTGGGAGTTTTCTTGACAAAGATCCTGGAGGGGCTTGCCATTTTCTTCCCCAGTTCATTTTTCAGATTACAAAACAGGCAAAAGCATTGAGTGACTTGTCCAGGGTGACACAGCTGGTAAGTGTCTGAGGCCAGATTTGAACCCACAAAGATGGGTCTTCCTGACTTCAGGCCTGGCACTCTATCCACCATCTAGTACAACTTCTACTCCACTATAACATAGCCAACAAGTGCTTCTCCTGCCTCTCTTTGACCTCCAAGAAGAGGGAACTGACCACCTTCCAAGGAAGCCCATCCCAGTTTGGGACAGCTCTCATTGTCAGGAAGCTTTTCCTGAAATTAAACCTAAATCAGTGTTTTTGCAACTTCTACCCATTGCTTCATTTTCAGGGATGAAACAAAGCAAGCGTAGTCCTCCCACATGTGACAGCCCTTCAGACACTTGATGACCTCTATCATAACCCCTTTAGGTCTTATTCTGTCTGGGTTCAGTGGGCCCACTTCCTCCAACTGATCCTCAGAGGACATGAATTCAAGAGCCTTCACTAACCAGTTGCCCTCTTACTGCAATCTAAGATTCTATTCTCTTTTTTGACAGCCACATCCCACTGCTGACTTACAGTGAGCTTCAAGTCCACTAAGGCCCCCTGATTGTTTTCAGAATACCTGCTGCCTAAGCAAGCTGCCCTCATCTTGAACCTGTGAACTGAAAATAAAATAAAAATGAACTAAAAATGAATAAACTTGTTAACTGAAAAAATAAAGGAACACATTTATCGATCTATCAAAATCTATAAATTTATTATTTTGAAACTGGAAATAACAAGGAAAATCCATCGAGTCCAAATCCCTCATTTTACAGATAAGGAAACAGACTCAGGGAGATTGTGATTTGTCCAATCTCACACAAGTGGTAAATTTGGTTTGAACAATACAAAGGAAAATCAAAATCCTTCCCTCAAGGAGCTTTCATTCTAGTAGAGAAGTCAACCTTCCCCTGTATATGGGCAAGCCCTACCAGCTACAGGGATGAGGAAAGGCTTCCTGTAGGAGGTGGCACTTTGGCTGAGCTCTGAGGGAAATGAGCACCTCAAACAGTACAGAGTAGGAACTAGGATTTTTGTGTGTCTGGGACAAATGGAGCCCTGGCCTCCCTGTCTGAGTTATAAAGCTGGACACAGATGCTACTCTCAAAAACCTTACAATCTAATCTCATAATGCGGATTCCTCTTGTACAGGTAGGACTGGATGGTCAGGGGTCCCTTTCAACTAACTCTCCAGTTCTGTGATTCTGTATTGAGCAAAAGACAAGTCCACAAATAACTTTCATGCAATGGTAAGAGGCAGGAGTTTTAATCTAGGCCATGCCATCTGCTGTTGGTGTGACCTTAGACTACTCCCTTCCTTTCTCTGGGCCTCCGTTATCAAACGATAAGGGGTTGGGTTGGGTGGTCCCTTCCTGGCTCTAAGACCTATGAATAAAGGGTACAGGAAGGCTCAGCATGGCACAGTCACTGACTCTCACAGGTGCTACTTATATGTCCTTAAGCAAGAGTCACTTAGCTTTGCTAGGCCTCAGTTTCTTCATTTGTAAAGTGAAGGGTTTGGCACTGGAGCTCCCCTCCAGTGCTCCATCTGTGATTCTGTGGTCCCCTGTCTTAGGGTCACTACCATCTACTAACAGGAATGACTGACTGGAGGTCTGTATCAAGTGGGGAAGTGGAGGTGAGGACTCTGTGAATGTCTCTCCCAGGGCTGCCCATCCCCTCCCCCTCCCCTGTGCTTGTAGCTGCCTGGTCCCTGAGGATCATGGCCATGGAGGCCAGCATTCCTTCTCCTCCCCCCTCTTTGGGGAAGCCTCTTCTCCTCCCCCAGCCCCCAGGTCCAGGCTCCCACTGAGGCAGACCCAGACTGGGGAGGGGGGACTATAGGTACTGAGCCCCGAGGGCCAGGGCATAGAGTCTCCAGAGACTGCCATTCTTGGTAGATTTCTCTTCCAGTAACTTGGAGATGCCTCTGGGTCCTTGCAGAAGGCAACTTATAAGGACTTGTGCACTGCTTGTTTATGAAAGCAGAGCTGGAAAGGAACAAAGCTAGCAACACCCAGAGGTTTGGCCCCCCCCAGTCCTTTTGCATACATTTTTAAAGGAATAATTCACTCACCTCCCCTGCATCCCCTCCCAGGGTCAATATATTGAAATAAAATACCTTATATGGCAATCCTGCCCACACACCCTAAGTCATCCCTTTTAGGGGATCTACTTGGAGAAGGTCCGCCTCTGAAGTTTTATATTGCTCTGGTATTTATACCAAAGACACACCAGACCCAGGGCCCTGAAGCCAGGAATTCCTGCAACCTCGGTGAGTAGCCCTCTCTGCTTCCGCCTGTCCCGTCCCTGAGGGAGGGAGGGGAAGAGGTTGGAGGAGGGCATGGGGTTTGGTTGGGCTGTTTGAGTTGGTGACAGGATCAGGGACCCAGAGCCAGAAGGGAGCTTCGAGGCCAAGTTTAATGGAAGCCCCAAAGGGAGGTGACTTGGCCAAGGTCCTGCATCTAGGAATCAAGATTTGAATCCAGGTCTTCAGTCCTCAAATCCAGCACTTTCCCCCTCTGCACTATAAATTTAGAGTGGGGGAAGTGAAGAGAAAACTCAGAGGTCACGTAGGGCAGTCCCCCCACTTTATAGATGAGGAAACGGAGGCCCTAAGCAGTGAAGTGTTTTGCCCAAGGAAGAGAGGTGAGATTTGAGCCCAGATCGTCCTTTCCCCAGCACCACGCCCTCCTCATTACTTCAGGTCAGTCAGTCAGTCAGAAATCATTTGTTAAGTGCCTGCATCGTGACAGGCACTGCTACGGGTGCTGTGGACAGCTACCTATCTAAGGCCTCACTCACTCTATAACTCCTGAGGTCTCTGTCCTGGCCACCTGGACAGCAGCATCAGGATGGAAGCCTGCTTCTGGGAACGGTGATAGATAAGTAAGAGAG